CTTCCCATATGGAACCCTCAAGACCAACGGAAAATACTGTGTCTTCTGATGGTCTTTGGTGACCCCTCTGACCTCTCCTCGCGACCGCCCCAGGGGTCCCGACCCCCAGGTTGAGAAACGCTGCATTATCTATTACATTGCCTGTTGTATAATGACCCTCAGAACAACCTTCTGTGACCCCTTTTGGAAGAAAGGGCAGCATGGCAACAGTCAGCAGTTATCTGTGACTTGTTAGCGGATTATTCAAAAAATATAATATTAAAGGTTGCCACATTTGCAGCCCAAAAAATCCGAGCCAAACTAGTAAAGTCCACAGCAGAAGCTAGAAATGGAAATGGAGATATTTTGGGATGATACAAATCAGACATTTGTAATTGTTGTTATGTCATTACTACTACAACTTTAAAGAGCTTATATTGGAAAGTGCTTATTGTACTTTTAAAGGTTGTATATTTTATGTCATGGCCTATGGCTAGTACAATAAACAATTCAAATAATAATAATAATAATAATAATAATAATAATAATAATAATAATGTATTGTCAAAGGCTTTCATGGCTGGAATCACTAGGTTCTTGTAGGTTTTTTCGGGCTATAGGGCCATGTTCTAGAGGCATTTTTCCTGACGTTTCGCCTGCATCTATGGCAAGCATACTCAGAGGTAGTGAGGTCTGTTGGAGCTAGGAAAATGGGTTTATATATCTGTGGAATGACTGGGGTGGGGCAAAGAACTCTTCTCTGCTGGAGCTAGGTGTGAATATCTAATCACCTCTCAACAAAAGATTGCTCTAGGCACTGGCAAGCCATCAAATGCTAATGAAGGTGGTCAGTTGAAACATTCACACCTAGCTCCAGCAGACAAGAGTCTTTGTCCCACCCTGGTCATTCCACAGATATATAAACCCTTTTTCCTAGTTCCAACAGACCTCACTACCTCTGAGGATGCTTGCCATAGATGCAGGCGAAATGTCAGGAGACAATGCCTCTAGAACATGGCCATATAGCCCGAAAAAACCTACAAGAACCTAATAATAATAATATATTTTTTAAAAAGTCTGGATTATTGATGTCGCCATACCAGGTGACAGTCGCATTGAGGAAAAACAACAGGAAAAACTCAGCCGCTATCAAGACCTCAAAATCGAACTGCAAAGGCTCTGGCATAAACCAGTACAGGTGGTCCCAGTGGTCATTGGTGCACTGGGTGCCATGCCAAAAGATCTCAGCTGGCATTTGGAAACAATAAACATTGACAAAATCATGATCTGTCAACTGCAAAAGGCCACCTTACTTGGATCTGTGTGCATCATTCGAAAATACATCACACAGTCCTAGACACTTGGGAAGTGTTTGACTTGTGATTTTGTGATACGAAATCCAGCATATAGATTTTTTTTTTCCTGTGACATACTGTGCTTTTGTGTAATAATAATAATAATAATAATAATAATAATAAAACTTTATTTATACCCCGCTCCATCTTCCCTAGGGGGACTCAGTGCGGCTTACATGAGGCCATGCCCATCAGTACAGTACACAACAATATAACACAAAAACATAACAAAACCAAAAAATAAAGTACATAAAATGCAAAACCAATATAATAAGCAACACAACAATATAAAACCAAACATTAAAACATTAAAATTTCACTGGGCAGGGCCAAATTCAAGGATAAAAATTTTAAAACACTGGGAGATAGGACAATGTAAAAGATCAGGAGAAGGATCCGGGGATTTAATTGCACAAACCATAAAATAAAGTGCTTCTGAGGTCATTTTGTGCAAAGTGTGGTCAGGGAGTATCTTACGGTCAGTCACTGAAGGCACATTGGAATGACTAGGTTTTCAGATTCCTCCTGAAGATTGCCAGCGTGGGGGCTTGCCTATTATCTCTGGGGAGTGAGTTCCAGAGCCGGGGGGCCACCATAGAGAAGGCCCTCTCTCTAGTCTTGTGATGCGGGTGGGAGCGAGAGAAGAGCCTCTCCGGAAGATCGAAGAGATCGTGTGGGTTCGTAGATGGAAATGCACAGGTAGGCAGATCCCAAACTGTTCAGAGCTTTGTAGGTCAAAACCTGCACCTTGAATTGGGCCCGGAAAATAAACGGCAGCCAGTGGAGCTCCTTAAACAGGAGGGTTGACTGCTCTCTGTAATTTGCACAAGTTAATAATCTGTCTGCCGTCCATTGGACCAATTGGAATTTCCGGGCCGTCTTCAAGGGCAGCCCCATGTAGAGCGCATTGCAATAGTTCAATCTAGAGGTAACTAAGGTGTGGACCACCGTGGCCAAATTCACTCACACTGTGACCCAGAAAAGCATTGGGAAGAATAAGCCTGGATCCAACTCTGGGTATTGTCTTTCCCTTCCAACCAACCTGCCAAATATACAGGTAGATTTCCATCAAACTCACCCTGCAGGGTCTCGACCAAACCGACAAAGCTGAATAGGGCAGGAGCTCAGAAGCAGTTGATATCGATCCCTTGGGCCGAATCCCCTTTGCTTTTCTCTTTGGGCTTCTCTTCTTCCAGAGGGATCCAATGTCTCCTCCAATCCTCAGCTTTGCCTCTGTCATCCGAAAGGGAAGGACACCCTCCTCCTTTCCTCAAAGGAAAGCGGCAACACGACAAAATGAAAAATCATCCACCCATTGGCTGTTTCTTCATGATCCTTGCTCATGGAGACAACCACTTCACTCTGGGTCCCTTGCTCCAGCCTTAACTGCCTTGGAACATTCGCCGCATCACAATGGGTGGCGCATCATTCATGCCCAGTGAAAGTCATAGATACCTTGTAAGGCAGGGGTCCTCAAACTAAGGCCCGGGGGCCAAATAGGGCCCTCCAAGGTCGTTTACCCGGCCCTCGCTCAGGGTCAACCTAAGTCTGAAACAACTTGAAAGCACACAACAACAACAACAACAATCCCATCTCATCAGCCAAAAGCAGGCCCACACTTTCCATTGAAATATTAATAAGTTTATATTTGTTAAAATTGTTCTTTATTTTAATTATTGTATTGTTTTAAAGTGTTTTTTGCACTACAAATAATTTATGTGCAGTGTGCATAGGAATGAATTCATTTTTTTAAAAATTATAATCTGGCCCTCCAACAGTTTGAGGGACTGTGACCTGGCCCTCTGTTTAAATCAAATTTGCTACCGGCTGTTAGGGATTGTGGGATTTGAAGTCCAAAACACCTGGAGGGACAAAGTTTGCCCGTGCCTGGGTTAGTCAGCAGAGTTCTACTCCAGGCCGAAGTGGAAGGAGGTTTCACAGAGCCTTAACAAAACTCCCAAGGAAGAAGCAGTCAAGCTTTGAAGCTGCAAGGCTGTTCAATGCTAATCAAGGTGATCACTTGCAACATTCACACCTGCCTCAAACAGTCAATGATATCGAGCTAGAATTTGGAGTTTGGTCCAGATTCATCATTGTTTGAGTCCACAGTGATCTCTGAATGTAGGTGAACTACAACTCCAAAACTAAAGGACACTGCCCACCAAACCCTTCCAGTATTTTCTGTTGGTCATGGGAGAACTGTGTGCCAAGTTTGGTTCAATTCCATCATTGGTGGGGTTCAGAATGTTCTTTGATTGTAGGTGAACTATAAATCCCAGCAACTACAACTCCCAAATGACAAAATCATATTTTTTTTAAGTGAAGGACATACATTGGCCTGATAGGTGTCTTGTGTCACAGCTGGCGGGGACGAGAGATAGGGCCTTCTCGGTGGTGGCTCCTCGGCTGTGGAACACCCTTCCCGTAGACATCAGGCTAGCCCCCTCCATGTTGATATTCCGCAGGAAGTTAAAGACCTGGTTGTTTGAGAAGGCATTTGAATAGTAGTGCAATGATGGGTAACTCGACCATAGGAATGGAACAACGGAAATGATATTGGATTGTGAACTTGACGATGAGACGACTCGGAATGGCTTGTAGTTATATTGATGTTTTTGATGAGATGTTTTGATAATGATGTACTGTGGATTATTTTTTGTATGTTGTATTTTTGCACCTGTTTTTCCATGTTGTACACCGCAATGAGTCGCCATTAGGCTGAGAATTGCGGTATATAAGCGAAGTAATAAATAAATAAATAAATAAATTGTGTCCAAATTTGGTGTCAATTCGTCCAGTGGTTTTTGAGTTCTGTTAATCCCACAAACGAACATGACATTGATGATCGCTCCAGCAGGAAGGTAACGGCGCTCCATGCAGTCATGCCGGCCACATGACCTTGGAAGTGTCTACGGACAACGCTGGCTCTTCGGCTTAGAAATGGAGATGAGCACCACACCCCAGAGTCAGACATGACTGGACTTAATGTCAGGGGACTACCTTTACCTTACTATATATATATATATAATGTTATTATGATAATGTTATAATGTAATAGAATATAATACTACTACTACTACTACTACTAATAATAATAATAATAATAATAATAATAAGATATTATAATTATATATTTTATCTCTACTCTAGGAAAGGGACTAGAGAGAGCTGACTCTCCTTTGCCTATAGTGTCATGGCGTCTCAAGCTTCTGCGCAAGTGCTTCTCTGATTGGTTCAGATAGTGAGTACAATAGAAAGCCGTCCGTGTAAGAAACATTTCCTTGCTCGAAGCTTCCGCATCAATACAGTCACTGCTCTCAAATGAGGCGAGAGAGGGAATCCCTTCTCATTGGTCGAGCCCGGCAACAGGAGGAGGAGGGGACTATCCTGATTGGACAAAGCGCCAGCAGGTGGTGGTCTAGTAGCCAATGCTAGGGCAAAGAATAGTGGGCGTGGCTTTAAGTATATTTTCCTCCCATAACACGTGGGTGGTAGGAGTGCAAGCTTAGGAGTTTCTCTGCTTTTCCCATTAGGAAACTGGAGTGCAAAGAATTAATTCTTGAATTATATTTCTCTTTTAATATTATATATATATATATATATATATACTGATATATATCATATATATATACTGATATATATCATATATATATATCAGTAATTGATTTGCACTTTCCCCCTCTTTTTTTTGCAATATATCTATTTTGCAGTTGCTTTTCAAAACTCATCTCCTCTCTTCATCAGAAATGGCTGAAGATCATCCTCTCTCTATGGTGACTTGCACAGCCCCAATCAACATTGCTGTCATTAAATATTGTGAGTAACCTCTTTCATTTTATTTTCCCTACTTTACATTTTCAGGGGGCATCTGCACTGCTGCAGAGTTAACGCAGTTTGATACCACTTCAACTGCCTTGGCTCAATGCTATTCTGTTTTCCCCAAACTCCAGCAGTGTTCACATTTGGGCATATTGAGTATTTGTGTAGAGTTTGGTCCAGATCCATCATTGTTTGAGTCCACAGTGATCTCTGGATGTAGGTGAACTACAACTCCAAAACCAAAGGACACTGCCCACCAAACTACAGTCCTGGGAGCTGTAGTTTTCTAAGGTCTCGAGCTTTCTCTGCCAAACTACAACTCCCAGGATTCCATAACACTGAATGAAGGCAGTTAAAGTGCTATCAATCTGCATTAATTCCATAGTGTAGAATTAGCCATTGCAATTGTTGGTCGTGTCAGGAGCGACTTGAGAAACTGCAAGTCTCTTCTGGTGTGAGAGAATTGGCCGTCTGCAAGGACGTTGCCCAGGGGACGCCTGGATGATTTGGTGTTTTTATCATCCTTGTGGGAGGCTTCTCTCATGTCCCTGCATGAGGAGCTGGAGCTGATAGAGGGAGCTCATCCGCCTGTCCCCGAATTCGAACCTTCAGTCCTGCCGGCACAGGGGTTTAACCCACTGCATCACCAGGGGCTCCATTGCAATAATAATAGATATTATTATTATTATTATTATTATTATTATTATTATTATTATTATTATGATGTTCCATTCCTGGTATGGTTGGCAGTGAGGGATTTGTAGCAATAATAATAATAATAATATATTTGTAGAGCTCATGTAGATACATCCATTTTCAGTAAAGTTGCGTAGGATCCAGACCTCACAATAATAGTATTTATTTATTTATTTATTTATCGTGTCAGAAGCGGACCAAGCGTACAGTTGTAATGGATTTTTAAAAATACAAAGTTTATAAATATAATATAATACAATATATTGTATATACATATAATATTTATAATATTATAATGTAATACAATGCTACTACTAATAATGCAATATTATAAATATATATTGTATATTACATGTAATATTACTAATAATATTACAATATAATGGTATAGTACAATATAGTAATATATAATACTGATATTATACTTTGCTAATAATATATTGTATGTATGTATATCTTGTCAGCTGCTCTGAGTCCCTTGTCATAAATAAATAAAAAACTTGGCATGATACTAGATTTCCTTTGATCAGTAGCTGGCCACTTGGAGTGCCTCTGGTGTTGCTATAAGAAGGTCCTCCATTGTCTATGTGGCAGGGCTCAGGTTGCATTGTAATAGGTGGTCTGTGGTTTGCTCTTCTCCACACTCGCATGTCGTGGACTCCACTTTGTAGCTCAATGTTGGCTCTGCGCCTTCCAAGTCCCCCAGTCTTCTGTGTGTTCAGGAGGGAGTCTCTCATTTGGTATCAGCCATAGATTGAGGTTCTGAGTTTGAGCCTGCCACTTTTGGATTCTCGCTTGCTCAGGAGTTCCTGTGAGTATCTCTGTAGATCTCAGAAAAGTATTTCTTGATTTAAGGTGTTGGCGTGCTGATATCTGAACAGAGGATGGGCCGGAGATGTCTCTGCCTTGGTCCTTTAACTATTGGTTGCTACTTCCCGGTGGATGTCAGTGGTCCGATACTGGCTAAGCAGTGTAATTTCTCCAGTGGTGTAGGGTGTAGGCATCCTGTGATAATGTGGCATGTCTCATTAAGAGCCACATCCACAGTTTTAGCGTGGTGAGATGTGTTCCATACTGAGCATGCATACTCAGCAGCAGAGAAGCAAAGCGCCAAGGCAGATGCCTTCACTGTGTTTGGTTGTGATCCCCAGGTTATGCCAGTCAGCTTTCGTATGATATTCTTTCTAGCACCCACTTTTTGTTTGATATTCAAGCAGTGCTTCTTGTAGGTCAGAACAGGATCCAGAGTGACTCCCAAGTATTTGTGTGTGCCGCAGTGCTCCAGTGATATTCCTTCCCAGCTTATCCATGATGATAATAATTCCCAGAGTCCCCTGTTCGGTATGGATGGCAGTGAGGGATTTGTAATAATATTTATTATTGTTGGTGTGGCAGTGAGGGATTTGTAATAGTTGTTGTTGTTGTTGTTGTTATAGAGCTCGTGTAGATACATCCATTTTGAGTAAAGTTGCATAGGATCCAGACTTTGCAGCATAATAATAATAATAATAATAATAATAATAATAATAATAATATAATACAGCAATAATAATAATAATACTTATTATTATTATTATTATTATTATTATTATTATTATTATTTTGAATTCCCAGAGTCTCCTATCCAGTATGGTTGGCGGTGAAGGATTTGTAATAATAGTAATAATAGTAATAATAGTACTGTATATTTGTAGAGCTCCTACAGATACATCCATTTTGGCTTAAGTTGCATAATACAACAACAACAAAAACAACAACAGCAATAATGATTCTTTTGAATTCCCAGAGTCTGCTATCCAGTATGGTTGGCAGTGAAGGATTTGTAATAATAATAATATCATGTTTGTAGAGCTCCTCACCAAAGAAGTAACTTTACCCATCTCTGAGAAGAGTGGGTGGTATTAGTATCATGCAAGATGATAAATCAAGTAATCAGAAGCCAAGATCTGGAGGAAGAATTGAATCACCTAATGATAGGTTTCATTTACAGGTGTCATTTGGTCCCATTTGCAGGTAACAGAAAGAACAGGTTGGACTAGCTGTGCTGTCCTTGGGAAAGCTATGGGGCTGTTTGCAAAAAGGGTTCGTAATGGAAAAACATTTTACACACTTATCCTGAATAATAATAATAATAATAATAATAATAATAATAATAATAATTTGGCCTGCCATCTCAATGGAGAAATATTCTACAATCTTATCCTGTATAATAGTAATACATTATTATTATTATTATTATTATTATTATTATTATTATTATTATTACAAAAACAACAAGATTAGTCCACAAACAAGATCACTCTGTTGGCTGTTGTATTGGATCACACGTCAGACACTTCCCAAATATCTAGGACTGTGCGATTTATCGGCAAATAATGTGTGCAAATCTGCGTAGGGTGGCCTTTTGCAGCTGACAGATGGTGATTTTGTCAGTGCCAATTGTTTTTAAGTGCAGGCCAAGGTCTTTAGGCACTGCACCCAGTGGGACCCCCTTGACTGGCTTGTGCCGGAGTCTTTGCAGTTCTATATTATTATTATTGTTGTTGATGATGATGTTGGATACCTCTTCTCAAGGATCTACTTCAGAGTTTTCCTGCATTGAGCCATGTTAGGAATTGTGGGAGTTGAAGTCCAAAACACCTGCAGGGCCCAAGTTTGCTTGTGCCTGGTGTAGACACACTCCCTGCCTTCCAGGTCCTTAAGGATAAGTCTTGGGAAAGTTCTAACTGTCTTTTTTCTCTCTCTCTCAGGGGGAAAACGGGACGAAAAACTCATCCTGCCCATTAATTCTTCCCTCAGCGTCACGCTGCACCAAGATCAGGTCGGTACCAGGGTTTGCAAATTGTCATTGCTGTGCAAAGCAACAAAAGAGAGATTGTTGGCTTGGGACAAGGGTTCAAATGGCGCAGCTGCATCAATGGAGAAGTGATTGCTCTAAGTCAATGCTCTTTGGAAAATTGAGCGGCATCAGCACTTTTTGGCAAATAAGGTTTATTATTATTATTATTATTATTTGATACATAACAAGATGAGTCCACAGCAGACAAGATCACACTGCTGGCTGTTGTATTGGATCACACATCGGACACTTACCAAGTGTCTAGGACTGTGTGATGTATTGGCGAATTATGCATGCAGATCCCAGTAAGGTGGCCTTTTGCAGCTGACAGATGGTAATTTTGTCAGCAAAGATTGTGTTTAAGTGCAGGCCAAGGTCTTGAGGCACTGTACCCAGTGTGTCGATCACCACTGGAACCACCTTTACCGGCTTGTGCCTCAGTTTGATCTTTAAATCCTCATATTGTATCAGCTCTTCTTCTTCTTCCCCTCCTCCTCCTCCTCCTCCTCCTCCTCCTCCTTCTTTTTATTATTTAGAGCTGAAGCCACCCTAGAGGTCATCTAGTCTAACATCCCAACTAGTGCATGACTCTCAGCTGATTGTTGTTGTTATTAGTGTATGTTCATTGCTATGAGTCTCTTTAGGAGAAAAATTGTAAATAATAATAATAATAATAATACATTTCAATATCCAAAACACTTCTGGCCCCAGGTAGTTCCTTGCCAAACTACAACTCCCAGGATTCCATAATATTGAGTCATGGCACTTAAAGTGGTACCAAACTGCATTAATTCTCCAGTGCGGATTCACTCTTAGTCTCATTCTGGCTTACACCCAGTTAAGGAGAAGAGGAGATATGCTTAGATCTCCAAGATGGCTTTTGAGTGAGCGGTTAGTAAGCTGTGGCCTATGGTGACCCTTTTTGACCATTGACTCTGTGCTTTTTTTGCAGCTCAAAACAACCACAACGGCGGCCATCAGCCGGGATTTCACTGAGGATCGCCTTTGGCTCAATGGCAAGGAAAGCGATATTGGGCACCCGCGTCTCCAGTCCTGCCTCCGGGAGAGTAAGTGCAAGGCAGAAGCAGAAACAAAGCCATGGAAAAGTCTTGCTAGACAAGCTTGCAATCACGCCATCTTAGAGAAATGCAGTTTCCTACCCTAAATAAATGGATGCAATCCATAATGGGCATGTGTCGTCCACCGGCACCATATTGCTGACTCTTAGGACCAAAAATCAGTCCTCCAAAGACTTTGCTTTGAAGTCATACTAGAAGTCTACCAGTCACTTTGGAGAGATGCAAAAATACCCCCCAACCCCTTGAAATACCTCTGTTCTCCTCAAAATGGGAACCAGAAGTGAGTTACATCTGGTTGCCATTTTGATGGGGACTGTAGGTCGGAGCCAACAAGACCTGGTGGTCTGAGTGTTGGACTGTGACTCTGGAGAACCTGGAGGAACACAGTTTGGGAACCTCTGCCCTGTGCAATTCATGGTGGGGTGTGTGTGAATTCACAGATGAGTTGGTGGCATGAGTGATGTACTGGAAAATTACTAGCTTTGCAAATTGTATGATGACTGTTGAAATGAAAATATTGATTGACAGAGGGAGAGAGGGAGGGAGAAAAGGTTGGATGGATGGACGGAGGGAGGGACATATGGTTGGATAGGTGGGTGGATGGAGGGATAAGTGGTTGGATGAACAGATGGATGGATGGAAGGATGAATCAATGGACAGATGGATGGAGGGACAAATGGTTGGATGAACAGATGGATGAATGCATGGATGAACAGGTGGATGGATGGAGGGACAAATGGGTGGATGGACAGACAGGTGGATGGGCAAATGGTTCGATGGACAGATGAATAGACAAATGGATGGATGGATGGATGGATGGATGGATGGATGGATGGAGGGGCAGATGGTTGGATGGGCAGAAGGATGGGTTAACAGATGGATGGAGGGACAAATGGATGGACAGGTGGATGGGTGGAGGAACAAACAGTTGGATGGACAGATGGAGGGACAGACAGATGAATGTAGGGAGAGATGGATAGGCAAATAGATAGGTGGATGGACAAATGGTTGGTTGAACATACAGAGGGACGGACAAATTGTTGGATTGGCAGATGGATAGAGGGACAAATGGATGGACAGGTGGATGGGCGGAGGGACAAACGGTTGGATGGACAGATGGATGGACAGGTGGATGGAGGGACAGGTGGATGGAGGGACAAATGGTTGGTTGGACAGACAGATGGACTAATGGTTGGATGGGCAGATGGTCTATCCATGCATGCATGCATGGAGGGAGGGAGGGATGCATGGATAGATCGATAACACATGAGTCCACCTGTGATTTGAAAGCACATAGTCATCTGTATCCACAGATCCTGCATGGCTTGAAAATATTCCAAAAGACAATCCATTTTGTCATAAAGAACACCATTTTCATCAGTCATTGTATACAATGAGACTTGGGCATCCATGGATTTGGGTATTCATAGGGGATCCTGGAACCGAACCCCAGCAGATACCAAGTACCCATTGCACCTTCCCTGCATGGATTTTCCTTTCTGCATGCTCCCTTCTTTTTCCTAACCTCCTCTCTCTTTTGGCAGTTCGCCGGCTGGCAAGGAAGCGCCGCAGTGGGGACAACAAGGGCACCGGCGGCGGAGAGTCTTCCCCGCTCAGCCTGACCTACAAGGTCCACATTGCTTCAGAGAACAACTTCCCTACCGCGGCCGGGCTGGCGTCTTCAGCTGCTGGGTATGCCTGTTTGGGTGAGTTTTTCTCCTGAACACTAGGAAGAACTTCCGACTATAAGATCTATTCAGCAGTGGAATTCTTTGCCTCGGAGTCCGGTGGAAGCTCCTTCCTTGGAGGCTTTTAAACAAGAGGCTGTATGGCCATCTGTCGGGGGTGCTTTGATTGTGCTTTTCCTGCATGGCAGGGGGTTGGACTAGATGGCCCATGTGGTCTTTTCTAACTCTGTTGCTCTATGATTCTCTGACCCACAGTCTATACCTTGGCCAAGCTGTATGGTGTGGAGGGCGACCTCTCCGAAGTGGCCCGCATGGGCTCCGGAAGCGCCTGCCGCAGCATGTTTGGGGGCTTCGTCCAGTGGATAATGGGAGAAGATGCCGATGGCAAGGACAGCATCGCCGAGCAGGTGGCACCGGAGACACATTGGCCGGAGATGCGGATCTTGATCTTGGTGGTGAGTCATGACAGGAAGGCCATGGAAGGATCTACTTCTAGGATCAGGATTGTGCATGCCTTCGGATGTTGGATGGTAACTCCCAGCATTTCTCCCCATTGGCTGTGTTGGCTGGGGATTCTGGGAGTTGGAGTCTAGTATTACTATTAAGCTGGAGTTCATTATTATTATTATTATTATTATTATTATTATTATTATTATTATGGTGCTGTGGATTTTTTAAGTTTGACTAAGTTTTAATGGTTTTTAGCTGGACTTTTTAAAATACTGTTTATATTTAAACCTAATTTAATGTTTGCATATTGGTATATTTTAAATTGTATGCTGATGCTTTTATGTTAAGCTGCTTTGAGTCTCCTGCAAGAGAGATGAAGTGGGATATAAATAAATATTATAATAATACTATTAATAATGTAATAGACACACATAATATATTAATATTGTAATAGACACACATATCAATATATAAGAGACATATATTATATAAATAATGTAATGGACACATATATTAATAATATAATATAATATAATATATTATATTATATAACATTATAACATATATGTTTAGAATGGTTACGTGTTTTTAACTGTTGTAGCCTGTCTTGATCCATGAGGAGAGGCGGGTAAGAAATTTTTTTAACAATATTAATAATTGATATTAACAACATTGGTAATCAATATTAACAACATCGATAATTATTTATGTATTTATTTATTTATTTACTATATTTCTATACCGCTTTTCTCACCCCGAGAGGCATTCAAAGTGGTTTACACATAACTGGAAAAACTTCAATGTCATACATTGGACACTGATGCGATGCCAATCCATAACAATCACAATTATAAAACCACAATTAAGCATAAATCATAATTAGACAGTACACAAGCAATCATTAAAACAATAAATAATAAAAACAGTCTCGCCAGTCGTATTGTCATTCTAGTCCATGTCCTTTAAACTCTACAAACATCTACTGTCCGAAGGCCTGATCCCAAAGCCATGATTTTAATTTCTTTCTGAAAGCCAGGAGGGAAGGAGCAGATCTTACCTCATTTGGGAGTGTGTTCCATAGGCGAGGGGCCACCACCGAGAAGGCCCTGTCTCTCGTCCCCGCCAGATGCATTTGCGCAATTGACGGGAGCGAGAGCAGGGCCTCCCCGGATGATCTTAGATTACGAGATGGGACGTAGGGGTGGATGCATTCAGACAAGTAAGCTGGGCCAGAACCGTATAGATATTGAAAATTGATAATCAATATTAATAACATCAATAATCGATATTGACAATAACAGATATTGATAATTATATTGATAATCTTATCCGCCTCTCTTCGTGGCCTGAGATGGGTTAAAACATAGCTAAAAACACATATTAATTCCTAACATATACATATATCAAAATGTATTTCTACTATATATATATATATATATATATATATATATATATATACACAGAACAAAGATTAAAATATAGTGAACTTAAAACACAACTTTAAAAGTAGATGCGTTGGGGGGCGGAGTTACCATGGCCGGTTGAACAGACGTCTTTCCTCCAGCTCTTGTGGAAATATAGCAAAAAAGCAGTGAAAATGAATGGATAATTGTCCTTTCTGGATCAAAAAGGGAGGTGAAAGTCTGGTGCACGTGGAAAACCTAAGAAGGTAATTTATTACCAATTACTTGCTTTGATTTATGAGCTTTAGCAGAAGATAGGGCGGCTGCCGAAAAATGGCTTGGAAAGTGAAACTGATTTGCCAATTATAACTGCGCACTGACTTGGAGAAGACTTGGAGAAGATAAACAGCTGCAATTTAAATACAATATTAGAATACTAAAAATATTGGACTTAATGACTTAATGATCCGGAAGGCAAAATAAATATTAGAGGCAGATTCCTCCTTTGAAGAAGGATCGAGCCAGTCTCGTTACATTAAAGGCAACCCTCCTGGCATTGCAAGGCATAATTGAGTGGGACTTTTTTGTACTGTGTGCTGTGTAGAACGGGAAAACAAAGCAATTAAAAAATTGATGAAAGCAGGAGGAGTGAAATTGAGGTTGAATGAGAAAGAATAAACAAAGTAAGGATACCTCAAAACCAAATCCTCTTTGGTTGCGTTCCAAACCTTCGGACAGATCGCTTTCAAGATTAGAAAGACTGGAAAGGGTCCCTGAGGAAATGAGCACTGTTAGAAGAAGTCCTCCCCTCCCCACAATTAAGGGAAAGCAGTTAAAACGAACACCCCCCCAAACCCCCCCTCAAATGGAAGGGGGGGCAAAAGGGGGAGGAACTATTTCAACCTCGCTGCCATGTTTAACAGCAGAGCCAAAAGAAAGCAGAATGAGCAGTGAGGGGGAAGAATTGGGGATGGGCAACAGTCAAATGCTAAGTAAAATAGCAGAATTGATTAAAGAAACGGCTGAAAAACAAACAAAGGAAATGAACTTGAATTTGAACCTGGAGTTTGATAAAGAAAGAGAAATAAGGAAGGGCGAAATTCAGGCATTGAAGCAAGAAATTCTGACCAGCAATAAACAAATGAGAGCAGAGTTGGACGCGGAACGAAAAAGCTCGGATGAAAAATTTCAGACAATAAGAGAAGCCCTGGAGATTGCACAGGGAGAAATACGAAAAAATAAAGCAGAAATTGAAAGAAGTACACAGGAACAACTGGTACTCAAACAACAAACGCAAAAAAATGAAAATAGGCTCTCTGACATGGAAAGAAAGTTTGTGTACATGCAAGACAACCAAAGAAGAAATAACGTAATAATAAAAAACTATCCAGAAGGAAACAAGAAAGAAGATCTGAAATCTGAGATCTTGAAATGGTTGCAAAAGATCTCGCCAACACTAAACTGGTCAGAACTGGATATTGAGAGAGTTCATCGCCTTCCAGCTGGAAGAAATAGAATAATTCCTAGGAACATAATAATTCGATTTCACAATTTCGCAAAGAAAGAAGATTTGATGAAAATATTAAAGAAAAATCCAGATTTCCTAAAGATGGGTGACTCAAAATTGGAAATATTTAATGACTATTGTTCTGAAACTAAGAATTGGAGATATTCAATGAAGCCTATTACGACGCAGTTAATGAAAGCTGGAATTGTGTACACCTGGGGATACCCTATCTTTCTTAAATTTCAATGGAAAGGCAAGAGATATAGAATTGATACACCGGAACAAGGCTATCAACTACTGAAGGAGCTTGGCATAGTAAGAAGACAAGAGAGAGATCGAAAGGAAGAGGAGGTGAAGGATCCGGATGGAGGAGAATTGGAGGAATTAATTGGTGCCGTTGGAGGAATCGAGATGTAAGAAGAAATTATACACTGCAATCAAGTTTTTTTGTTGAATTAAAATGAGCACTCGGGGGGAGGGAGACTCTGGGCCACGGGATGACTTCGCCCCCCCCTCCCCAATTGGGAAGGCCGGGGGCCATGATTGGGACGAGTAGTCCCGAAGATTGGAAGGGGAGGAAGGGGGGAATGAGGGAAGTGGGGGGATTGGGGGGGAGGGGGGAATGGGGAGAAAGGGTAGGGGAGGGAAAGGGGCAAGGGTTCACGTTGTTTCAAGCCACAAAAAAGCTTTTAAAGGGAAATGGAAACGATGTCCCATAAATTAAGAATTTCAACACTTAACACGAGAGGGTTGGGGACGGTAATTAAGAGAAGGCGGATTGAATCTTTACTGAAGAAGGATGCAGCGGACCTCATCTTCTTACAGGAAACACATCAAAATAGGCGGGGCTCAAACGAGCTAAAGTCGAGTTGGATAAGGAACTATGAAACATCTTTTGGGTCATCAAAGTCAAGAGGAGTAGCAATAATAATAGCTAAGAAATGTAATTTTGTCATAAACAAGGTATTGAAAGATGAAGAGGGAAGATATATAATAATATATGGGGAAATAGGGGAGGAAAAATATGTATTAGTAAATGTATACGCACCAAATGTAAAACAGCAAGAATTTTATGAAAAAGTGTTAGAGCAAATAGAGAATTACCATCAACAAAATGTAATATTTGGAGGAGATTGTAATTGCTGTATGGATTTAAAGAAGGATAAAACTACGATAGCATCAAAAGTTAGAAATATTGAAACAACGGAATTAAGTAGAGTAATGAATAAATGGCAATTAAAGGACGTATGGAGATTGGTAAAAGGGAATGAAAGCAGATATACATACTACTCATCCGGTACATAAGGTGTATACAAGAATTGATTATATTTTTGTCTCCAAAAATATGACAAGTAAAGTACTAAATGCTGATATAGGTATGATTAAGATTTCGGATCATGCTTTGGTTTCAATTGAGATTGTGTTGAAATGTGATTATGACAAAATGAAAAGGTGGAGGTTAAATACAAGAATACTAAATCATAAAGAAATAGTAGATAAAGTGCAAGCAGAATGGCAAGAAATTTGGGGTTTTAATGAAAAGGGGGTGACAAAGGGAGTTCTATGGGATACTATGAAAGCAGTGACCAGAGGGTTATGCATAAAAGAGACAATTAACTTAAGAAGAAGGCAAGAAGAAAGGAAAAGGAATTTAGAAAGAGAAATAGAAGAGATTGAAAAAGCATATGTAATAAAGAGAGATATACGAATTTATGCTAGGCTAAGAGCAAAAAAAGAGGAATTGGATAAAATGGAAATAGACGAAGTGCAAGAAAACTTAATTTATTTAAGGAGGGAATATTTCGAGTTTAGTGATAGGAATTCAAAGATGCTAGCCAAATCAACACAGAAAAAGAAAATGGAAGGAATGATAAATATGATAAAAGATAAAACAGGTAAATTATGTAGAGCTATGAAAGAAAAATTGAAAGTATTTGAAGAATTTTATAAAGAACTGTACCAAACCAAAGCAAGCCCCATAGAGGCAATTAGGAAATATGTGGAGGAAAATTGGGAGAGTAAGCTGGAAGAGGAAGATAAAGAATTACTGGAACAACCTATTAAGAAAAAAGAAATAGAGGAAGTTATTAAGAAATTAAAAGTTGGCAAAGCTCCGGGCTTGGATGGTTTAGGGACAGAATATTATAAAAGCTTTAGAGAAGTTTTAACCCCAAAATTATTAGAATTGTACAATGGAATAATGAAGGGAGATAAAATACCCGAATCATGGAGGAAATCATTAATAATATTAATACCTAAACCTGATAAAGACCTAACAGACCCAGGGTCATATAGGCCCATATCATTAATTAATCAGGATGCAAAGATATTGTCCGCGATATTAGCTAATAGAATGAATAAATGTATGTATAAGTACATAAAAGAAGATCAGTGCGGGTTTATAAAAGGAAGACAAATGTCAAATTTGATAGGGAGAGTACTAAATAAAATTCATTGGGCTAAAGAGGGGAAAGAAAAAGCAGGGATATTATCATTAGATATTTTTAAAGCGTTTGATTGTGTGGAATGGGAGACATTAAGGGAAATATTGAATAAATTCGGAATGGGAAATAGAATAAAAGGAGTATTAAAACAATTTTATTCAAGGAACTCGGCAGTGGTAACTATAAATGATGGAGTGACAAACGAAATAAAAGTGACTAGAGGAACTAGACAAGGGTGCCCTTTGTCCCCGATACTATTTGCCATGGTGATAGAACTGTTTGCTAATAACATAAGGAATGACAAAAATCTAGAAGGGTTAGGAAAAAAGGAGAAACAGAAGGTGAGTTTATTCGCTGACGATACATTGTTATTTATAGAAAATATAGTGGAGAAAATGGATAGAATAAAAGAACATTTGGAGATATTTGGGAAAGCAACAGGCTTACAAGTTAATTGGAGTAAGTCAGAAATGATGCTACTTAATTATACAAGAGAAGAAGAAAAAGATCTTATAGAACAGAGCAAAGGGGGAATAAGAATCAAGAACAAACTAAAATACTTGGGAGTAATAATAACTAAGGATTTAAAAGAGATAGAGGAAGTAAATGTAGTAACATTAAGGAAAGAAGTCCAGAAAAAGTTAATAGAGTACGAAGGAATACGCTTATCATGGTTTGGAAGAATAGCATTAGTAAAAATGAAAATACTTCCAAAAATAAATTTCATATTTAGGATGCTACCACTTCAAATTACAGAAGAAGAACTAACTAGATGGCAACAAATGATTAATAAGTACTGTAATGGAAGTAAAAGGAACAGACTAAATAAACAATTATGGTATAGATCGCAAAAGGAGGGTGGACTGGCGTTACCTAATATAAAAAAATATTACGAAGCAAGTAGATTAAGTTTGGTTATAGAAGGAATGGTCAAAGAAGAGGGAATAGATTGGCTTAGTAATGATTCAGGAAAAGTGGAAGATGAAACTTGGAATATATTTTTTAAACAGTTAACTAGAAAAGAAATGAGGGAAATTAGAAACCCAATGCTGAGCAATATACTTAAAGTATGGAATAAATATAAGGGGAGGTTAATAAAGGAGGGATCAACTATAACCCCAATAGTGATGGAAAAGAAGTTCCCAAAAAATCTAAAAAAAGTAATGGATAAAAAGGTAAGGGAAATAAATTTAGACAGGATAGGGGATTGGATGAAGGTGGAAATGAAGAGGGAAAGGATGTTGGAAGAGTTTAAAGAAATAAAATTGTCATGGTTTCATTGTATACAATTAGAACAATGGGTAACAAATTGGAAAAAAAATAATAGAAGTGAAAGCCAACTCAGTCAATTCGAACAAATAATACAGAAGGGAAGGACTGTAGAAGAACACGAAAACTTGAGAGGTATAATTAGCAAAATTTATAAGATATTAATTGAAATGAAAGATGAAAAAACAAAAAAGTGCACCCTTAAAGAGATTTGGGAAGAAGATTTAGGGATAAAAATAAGCGAAATAGAGTGGCAACAATTATGGGGACAAAGACATTTAAAAAATTTATCGATACGAGTTAAAGAAAATTATTACAAGTTAATATGGAAGTGGTACTTGACACCGGTAAGAATAGCATATATGAGTAAAAATAACTCAATAAATTGTTGGAGAGGGTGTCAAGAACCAGGAACATATATACACATGTGGTGGCAATGTAAATATGTAAATAATTTTTGGGGGATAGTATTTAGAGAAATAGAAACTATAATGAATATAAAACTAGATAAAAGTCCTAGTATAGCATTACTATCACTATATAACGATAAGCATTTGAAAAAGGAGGATAAAGAAGCGATAACAAACTTACTAACTATAGCAAGACTGCTTATAGCAAGGAATTGGAAAAAAGAAATGAATATACAAATAGAGGAGTGGTATAAAGAAGCATGGAAAATAGCAATAAACGATAAATTGACATGTATATTAAAGGTTAAAAAAGGTATATGGAAACAAAGCGATTTTGATGCTGTATGGGGAAGATTTGTGGTAAATGGATTAAAAAATAAGGAAGGAAAATTACCGTCACAAGAAGAAATGAAATTTTGGACAGATGAAATGTAAGAAGGGTGGCTTGAAATGGGTGGAGGGGAGCACTGTGGTGGGAAAAGGGGGGGAAAAAATGAGAAAAAAAGGGGGAGAAATGTTAGAGTAAAATAATAAAATAACATGTTAAAGAGGTTGATGTACAAAATGTAATAGTATGTAATAAAGTGATAAATCAATAAAAATTTAAAAAAAAAAAAAAAAAAAGAAAAAAAAAAGAAATACTGTTTACCTACAAGCATAGAAACTGAAAAAAAAAAAAAAAAAAAAAGTAGATGCGTTATACACAGGCACGAGAGAGTTGGCCTTAGGAACTCTTCCACCAAAATCAGGAAATTTTGTTTTGTCTATCTGCTCTTTTCTTCCTGAGACATATTACCTACAACAATATTAAGTTTTTACCTTTTGGAACCTTGCCAAAGCATCCTGTGTATTTTCTCTCCTGTCTCCTACCATAAGCACTGGTGGCTAAACTGTGCTAGAGACCCAATATTCCTAAGAGTGTAACATTATATTTCTATGTCATTTAATTAGGGTTTTAATCTCCTATACATTGGCAGGTGAGTGCGGAGAAGAAGCCAATTGGCAGCACAGCCGGGATGCAGACCAGCGTTGAAACGAGTCATCTTTTGAAGGTAGGCCATACATAGAGTTGGAAGATAACCCCAAAAGCCATCTAGTCCAACCCTTTTCTGCCAGGTCAATACCCTCCTTGAATTGATTTACCCACAACTGGAAAAAGAGGTTATTATTCCAAGTGAGGTCTGACTGAAGCAGAACAGAGTGGGATCTGTGACGTCCCCCAATCTTGACACCATCTTTAACTTTGAATATGTTTTAATGGATTTTAACTGTGAATTTTTAATACTGTTTATATTTAATCCTGTTTTAATGTTTGCATATTTGTATATTTTAAATTGTATTGAAATGCTTTTGATGCTTTTATGTTAAGCTGCTTTGAGTCTCCTTCGGGAGAGATAAAGCAGGGTATAAATATAAAATAATAATAATAATAATATACAAATATAAAATCAGGATTCGCAGGTTCTCATACCTTGTACTTGCAAACAATCAGAGTCATCAGATAGTCACATACAACATGGGCAGATACTCACACTGAGTCACACAGGAGAGAGAAAGATGGATTCTTTTAAATGTATTTTATAATAATAATAAGAATAAGAATATAATAATAATAATAATAATAATAAACAAATATAATCAGGATTCGCAGGTTCTCATACCTTGTACTTGCAAACAATCAGAGTCATCAGATAGTCACATACAACATGGGCAGATACTCACACTGAGTCACACAGGAGAGAGAAAGATGGATTCTTTTAAATGTATTTTATAATAATAATAAGAATAAGAATTGGCTGTCTGCAAGGAGGTTGTCCAGGGGATGCCTGGATGTTTGATGTTTTACCCTCCTTGTGGGAGTCTTCTCTCATGTCCCTGCATGGGAGCTGGAGCTGACAGAGGGAGCTCATCCATGCTCTCCCCGGATTCAAACCTGTGACCTTTCAGGTCAGCAGTTCAGCTAGCACAAGGGTTTAACCCATTGCGCCACCATGGGCTCCACATTGCCACCTGCTGATAGGTCATCAGTAAGGGACACTGGCTGATGCAACCCCTTTGCAATATATATATATCCCCATTTTTCCAGCATCGGGCCGAGAAGCTGGTTCCAGAATACATGGTGCAAATGATGCGGCACATCCAGCGACGGGACTTTGAGGCTTTCGGGGAGCTGACCATGAAGGACAGCAACCAGTTCCACGCCACGTGCTTGGACACCTTCCCGCCCATCTTCTACCTCAACGACGTCTCCAAGCAGGTGGTGCGCCTGGTGCACCGCTTCAATGACCACTATGGCAAAACCAAGGTCGGGATGCTTCTTAAATGATGGTTGATTCACCCAGACTATTGGGCTCCGCCCTGAGTCCCCTTCGGGGTGAGAAGGGCAGAATATAAATGTTTTAAATAAATAAATAAATAAATATGATGTTCCTGGAGCTTAGTAGCCATCGGCCTGAGTTAAACCTCAGTGGGAGAAAGGTCTCCTGTGAGAAGGCCCCACAGTGTGAGGTAGGCCTTAGTCTGTGAGAGAAGTCTCTGTGAGGTAGGTCTCACAGTGTGATTTAGGCCTTCGTGTGTGAGAGAAGATTCTCTGTGTGAGAGATTGCCTCAGTGAGAGAATAGGCCTCATTGTTAGTAGGCCTGATTGTGAGATAGGCCTCTGTATGAGAAGCTCCAGTGTGAAGGTTGATTTTTGTCTTATGGAAACCTTGTTTGGTAAATACTGCAGCAATATAATTTTACTACAAAGGAAAGCCTCCTATGGAAGAGATAATATGGCCTGTGTATTTTTGTTATTTTTATCATTTTGGGCTACTGGTGCTTGGTCATGCTGCTGCTGATAAGTTATTCTGCTATACATTCATGGGGAGGGTCTTTTGTTAATAAGCCCACTCGCCCAACAAGTCACACTCTCTCAGCCTCAGAAGAAGCCCCTGGTAGCAAATGCACTCTCTCTGATTCTATATCTAGCTATTTAGGTCTGCAAATATAGGTATTTCAAAATCCAAAGGAAAAATATGAAATCCAAAACACTTTATGGTCCCCAATGTTTTGGATAAGGCATACTACTCAACCGGTATTTGTCACTTGATAGTTTATCCACAGTGGGATTCATGCGTTGTTTTCCAAAGTGGCTTGCTGAGAGTGCTTCTCCTCTCTGCACTCTTCTTCTTTTGGGGTTTTGGAGACCGAAACGGGTCCTTCCCTTCCGCCACTTCCTCTTTTGTGGGGTCAAGGTGGCCATAAACCTTCAGACCACTGCTTCTGTGTCCATTCAGGTTCCTGAAAGGCCTTCCAGTGGAGGCAGTGACGCCGCCTGAAGAATTGCTCTCAGCCGTTGTGAAGGATCCAGCACCAGGCGCCATCCAGTATCTGTTGCTCACCAAGGTATGGATGATACCGTTTGCATCTCAGAAAGGAAGCCTTTCAATAATAATAATAATAATAATAATAATAATAATAACAACCCATTTCCCTCTCTTAAAAAGGACTCAAAGCAGACACTTGGAATTGACTAGAGTTTGCCTCCAGGAGCCCGTTAGATGCCCAAATCCATGAATACTTATGTAAAATCTAAGATAAAATGACACAAAGACTAAAGATCCACCAAATGACCGGTTATTATTATACAGTAGAGCAGTGTTTCTCATCCTGGGAGTCGTGAGGGGATGTCAGAAGGGTCTCCAAAGACCATCAGAAAATGCAGTGTTTTCTGATGGTCATGAGGGTTTTGTGTGGGAAGTTTGGCCCAATTCTATCATTGCTGGGGTTCAGAAAGCTCTAGTTGTAGGTGAACTATACATCCCAGCAACCACAACTCCCAAACATCAAGATTTATTTTGCCAAAACTCCACCAGTGTTCACATTTGGGCATATTGAGTATTCATGCCATGTATGGTCCAGATCCATCATTGTTTGAGTCCACAGTGTTCTCTGGATGTAGGTGAACTACAACTCCAACACCCAAGGCCAATGCCCACCAAACCTTTCCAGTATCTTCTGTTGGTCATGGGAGTTCTGTGTGCCAAGTTTGGTTTAATACCATCGTTGGTGGAGTTCAGAATTGCTCCAGGCACAGTCAGCCCATTGTATGCTAATCAAGGTGGTCAGTTGAAACATTCACACCTAGTTCCAGCAGACAAGAGTCCTTTGTATCACTCTGGTCATTCCACAGATATATAAACTCATTTTCCTAGTTCCAACAGACCTCACTACCTCTGAGGATGCCTGCCATAGATGCAGGCGAAACGTCAGGAGAGAATGCCTCTAGACCATGGCCATACAGCCCAAAAAAACCTACAACAACCCAGTGATTCCGGCCATGAAAGCCTTCGACAATACATTTTTATTTTTGTTGTTGACATTATTGTTAGTACTGCCTTATTATTATTATTATTATTATTATTATTATTATTACATTATTAGTATTATCTTATTATTACATTATTAGTACTAGTATTATCATTGTTTGTATTGCATTATTATTATTACTACTTTAGTATCTTATCTTCTTATTATTGTATTCATACCCTGTTTTCCTCTCTTCAATAAGATTCAAAGGAGCTACATTTAGCTTACTCTTTCCAAGCTCAAAAGTCACATCTTCAAGATAACTCATAATTATTATCATAATGTCAATGCAAATATTCCAAAATAAATTGGAAATCCCAAACAACCAGGCATTTTGGCTGGTAAATTTGTCATAATTTTCCCAAAGTGGTCAACTTTCGTTGGATTTTGAGTTAATCCGGTTGCATTTTTTCTTCTTTCAGCCTGGACCTGGGCCGGCAGTGGTGGATGATGGAAGCTGTCATCTCTTGGGGCTGGATGGACAGCCGCGAAACAGCAGTGGCTGAATCAATGGCGGACTTGGGTTGCCCTTGGTGCCACTTGTGAATGAGACAAATAAGGGAAAAGCTGCCTTTTTGTGGGAAATTACTGACATAATGGATATTGGACATTATATGTTGATCGTGTGGACTTTCAGATCATGTTCAACTCTTAACTCCTAACAGACCAAATCAGGAGAGACGAAGAATGCTGGATGTTATAGTCAAACAATATCTGGAGGGAAGGAAATGGCAAAGTCCTTCTGAACAAACCTTGCTGAGAAAGCCAAATGATAAGGTCTTGATTCCCATTTCTTTTAACTTGTGATTCATCCTTATACGAGGGGCATTGATGAAAGATTTCCCCTGACCCACTTCCTGTGGACTGAGAGCAATGAAACTTGGCCCAGTTCTGAGTCCTTCTCTCGATGGGTGCCACCTCAGGACACACACTTCTTTCATCTTTTGAAGCAACTTTCAACACCTTGCTTGTAGAAGTTGATAGGTAAAGGTAAAGGTTTTCCTCTGACATTAAGTCCAGTCATGTCTGACTCTGGGGATTGGTGCTCATCTCCATTTCTAAGCCAAAGAGCTGGCATTGTCCGTAGACACTTCCAAGGTCAAATGGACGGCATGACTGCAAGGAGCGCCATTACCTTTCTACTGGAGCGGTACCTATTGATTTACTCACATTTGCATGTTTTTGAACTGCTGGGTTGGCAGAAGCTGGGGCTAACGCCACTCCCCGGATTTGAACCTGCAACCTTTCAGTCGACAAGTTCAGCAGCTCAATGCTTTAACCCACTGCGCCACCGGGGGCTCCTCGTAGAAGTTGATAGGTTGCTCCAAAAACCATGTTATGACTTCGGAAATCAGGGTCTCATCACCTGAGAAATGCTTGCCCTTCAAAAATAACTTCCTTGTTGGGAAGAGGTGGAAGTCCGATGGTGTGAGGTCGGGTGAAGAAGGGGGATGCAAGAGAATGTCAAAGCTAGAGGAGAGCATGCTTCTTCCATTTGGGCAACAAGTGAATTGTGAATGGGTGCATTGTCTTGCAGAAGGTGGACACCTTTGAGGAGCATGCCACATTCCCTTTGGTTTGGATGGCCTCCCGCAATGAAGCCTAGTCTGCCCCAGTGATCCAGGTCCCCTTTGCTAGGAAATCCACCCATACTACTCTGTGCTGGTCCCAAAATACTGTGAGCATGACCTTGCCTGGTGAGAGTTGGGCACGTGCCTTCTTTGGAGGCAGGGAGTCAGGATGCTTCCATTGCATTGACTGGACTTTAGTCTCAGGATCAGAGTGATGGACCCAGCTTTCACCTTGTGTGATCAGTCTGTTGAAAAAGTCCTTCTGGTTTCCATGGCACATCATTGACAATAGACACAGTGAGCAATCGGCTCATTCCTACATCTGGAAAGGTGTGAGCAGCCGGGAAGCAGCGAGCGGATCCTTTATGCATGGGAAGATGGTCTTGGATGATTTTTTTCCACAGACCCCACACTCATCTTGACATTTTGAGCTATGTGGTGAATGGTTATGTGGTGATTTTCCAAAATGGTGACCTCCACTTGCTGGAGAGTGCGGTCGCCCTAGAATTGGAGCTGTTTGCACCGAAGTCTGACCACATTGGAACTGAAGATGCCAGTTCTTGACTCCATCATGTGATGAGGAAGCATCACCATAAACCTCTTCCATCTCATTGAGCGTCTCCTTTGGTGTGCGGCCTTGCAAGAAAAGGAACTTGAGGACTGCTCTGCACTTCAGCACCTGTCACATCAAGACCGTTCTCAGTTCTGAGTTGTAAATTGGCATGTTACCTATAGAGACGTATGTCATTGCACATGGGTAGTTTCAGTGTCCTGTGATCAATAGAAGTGGGTCAGGGGAAATCTTTCTTGAACACCACTCATATAATTAGCCCTTTCTTCAGTCCACAATGGAATGGACAATGCCAGTTCTTGAATCTGTCATATGATGGTGAATCATCCCCATAAATGTCTTTCATCTCATCAAACATCTCCTTTGGTGTGCAGCCTTGCAAGAAAAGGAACTTGAGGGCTGCTCTGTCTTCCACTGGATCCATTCTCAAACCTCACACCACTTCAGCACCCATCACATCAAGACTGTTCTCAGTTCTGAGTTGTAGATTGGCACGTAACCTATAGATACTTATATCATTACACAGTTTCAGTGTCCTGTGATAAATAGAAGTGGGTCAGGGGAAATCTTTCATGAACGCCCCTCGTATATCCATATATCTTATATGGTCATTGCAGGGTTTGGTATCGTCTTCCACCAATTCCCAGCAACCCTTCTGCAAAGGAGGATGGAAGTTGTCATCTAGCAGCATGTGGACAGCTGTAGTTTTCTCTGTTGATCTCTCAATGTTTTTAATCCATTCCAACCTTTGAAACCTTCTGCCTTACTAGAGAAAACTTTGGGACTTTCTTTTCCAGAAAATCAAGCAGATAGCCTTCCTATTGCCTTTCTTCTCTTTGCACAAAGTCTCCTGGGGAATGTGGTTGTCCTTTTTCCTTCCCAATTTTGGTTTCATTTTTACTGGGTCGCTTATTAAAAAGAAGTGAAAGTCGATAATTCTCATTCGAACTGTGGTGTGTTCTTTTGGGGGCTTGCTTCTCTTATACTAGTGTTTCTCAGCCTTCCTAATGCCGCGACCCCTTGATACAGTTCCTCATGTTGTGGTGACCCCCAACCATAACATTATTTTCCTTGCTACATCGCAACTAATTTTGCTACTGTTACGAATCGTAATGTAAATATCTGATATGCAGGATGTATTTTCATTCACTGGACCAAATTTGGCACAAACACCTGATATGTCCAAATTTGAATACTGGTGGGGTTGGGGGGAAATTGATATTGTCATTTGGGAGTTGTAGTTCACCTACAATCAGAGAGCATTCTAAACTCCACCGATAAAAATGAACCAAACTTGGCACACAGAACTCGCATGACCAACAGAAAATACTGGAAGGGTTTGGTGGGCATTGACCTTCTCTTTTGGAATTGTAGTTCACTTACATCCAGAGAGCACTGTGGACTCAAACAATGATGGATCTGAACCAAACTTGGCACAAATACACAATATGCCCAAATGTGAACACTTGTGGAGTTTGGGAAAAATAGACCTTGATATTTGGGAGTTGGAGTTGCTGGGATTTATAGTTCACCTATAATCAAAGAGCACTCTGAACCCAGTCCACAATGGATCTGCACCAAACTTGACACATTACCTGCACAGCCAACATTGAATATTTGTAGGGTGGGGGCTGTTTCTGAATTCTGGGATTTGTAGTTCACCAATACCAAAAAGGAAGAGAGGAACAGGTGGAGAGATCTTCAGCCCTCTCTGCCAAAAGGGTTCCTAAGGCCTTTTGTTTTCTGATGGTCTTTGGAGGCCCCTCTGAAACCCCTCTCATGACTCCCCCAGGGATCCTGACCCCCAGGTTGAGAAACACTGTCTTATAAAGATGCAAAATTATCACTCATACCATCACTGAAATGCAGAAGTATAGGGTGGGGGACACCAGGCTTGGAAACAATGCAAATGAAAGGGATTGAGGAGAGTCAAAACAGTGATGCAGCAGCGTAAAAGGCCAATGCGATTCTCAGGTTGGGATAGATGGCCTTTGGGGTGCCTTCAAGTGCTAATAATGGAATATATGCCTGGGAACCAGGTGAAATCACTTTCTCTGGAGGTTTCCAAGCAGAGGCCAGATCACCATCTGTTGGGAGGGCTTGGACTATGTCTTGCAAGGCAGAAGGGGGCTGGCCTTTGGAATATGCCTTCCAGATATGTGATTGTATAAATTTTCAGGATAGAAGCATTCAGAATGGAATGGCTAATGAGGGAGCCTCCATACCTGGAGGTCATTAAGTTGGGGCTGGATGGCCATCTGTCAGGAGGGCTTGGATTGTGTCTTTATGGTAGAAGGGGGTTGGAATAGAGGGCCTTTGGGGGGCCCTTTCAAATACATGATAGTATACATTTTCAGGATGGAAACATTAACAATGGAATGGCTGGTAATGGAGTCCGAAGGCCATCCAGTCCAACCCCCTCCTGCCCTGCAAGGCACCAGCCAAGCCTTAGCAACAGATGGCCATCCAGCCCCAACTTCAGGATCTCCAAAGATGGAGACTCCATCACCAGCCACTGCATTGGGAATGTTTCCATCCTGAACATTTATATCCAGAAGGTTTCCTCCAAACACCATCTATACCAACCCCCTTCCACTATACAGGAAGACACCATCCAAGCCAACCTGGCAGATGGCCATCCAGACCCAACTTCATGACCTCCAAAGATAGGGACTCCATCACCAGCCATTCCATTGTGAATGTTTCCATCCTGAAAATGTATACAATCATATATTTGGGAGGGATCTCCAAAGGCCATCCAGTCCAACACCCTCCTGCACTGCAAGGCACCAGCCAAGCCTTAGCGACGGATGGCCATCCAGCCCCAACTTCAGGAACTCCAAAGATGGAGACTCCATCACCAGCCACTCCATTAGGAATGTTTCCATCCTGAACATTAATCGATGGTGATGGAGTCTCCATCTTTGGAGGTCCTGAAGTTGGGACTGGATGGCCATCTGTTGCTAAGGCTTGGCTGGTGCTTGCAGGGCAGGAGGGGGTCATCAGACTGGATGGTCTTTGGAGGTCCCTCCCATCTCTGGGGTTCCTTTGCAAAAGTTCTTTGTGCCTAATAGGAGGAGACAGAGGAAAGGGGAACTTGCCCCAGTCATTGCGCCTTTGGAGAGGTCGGGTGCCTCTTCTTTTCATGAAGTTGGGGCTGGATGGCCATCTGCCAGGATGGCTTGGATGGTGTCATCTGTCAGGAGGGCTTGAGTGGTGTCTTCCTATATAGCAGAAGGGGGTTGGTACAGAGGGTCTTTGGAGGAAACCTTCTGGATATAAGAGTCGATTAACGTTCAGATGGAAACATTCCCAATGGAGTGGTTGGTGATGGAGTCTCCATCTTTGGAGGTCGCGAAGTTGGGGCTGGGTGGCCATCTGTCGCTAAGTCTTGGCTGGTGCCTTGCAGGGCAGGAGGGGGTCAGACTGGATGTCCTTTGGAGGTCCCTCCCATCTCTGGGGTTCCTTTGCAAAAGTTCTTTGCGCCTTATAGGAGAGGAAAGGGGAACTTGCCCCAGTCATTGCGCCTTTGGAGTGGTCGGGTGCCTCTTCTTTTCATGAAGTTGGGGCTGGATGGCCATCTGCAGGAGGGCTTGGGTGGTGTCTTCCTATATAGCAGAAGGGGGTTGGTATAGATGGTCTTTGGAGGAAACCTTCTGGATATAAGAGTCGATAAATGTTCAGGATGGAAACATTCCCAACGGAGTGGCTGGTGATGGAGTCTCCATCTTTGGAGGTCATGAAGTTGGGACTGGATAGCCATCTGTTGCTAAGGCTTGGCTGGTGCCTTGCAGGGCAGGAGGGGGTCGGACTGGATGGCCTTTGGACCTCCCCCCCCCCCCCAAATATATGATTGTATATATTTTCAGGATGGAAACATTCACAATGGAATGGCTGGTGATGGAGTCCCTGTCTTTGGAGGTCATGAAATTGGGTCTGGGTGGCCATCTGCCAGGATGGCTTGGATGGTGTCTTCCTGTATAGCAGAAGAGGGTTGGTATATATAGATGGTCTTTGGAGGAAACCTTCTGGATATAAGAGTCGATTAATGTTCAGGATGGAAACATTCCCAATGGAGTGGCTGGTGATGGAGTCTCCATCTTTGGAGGTCATGAAGTTGGGTCTGGATGGCCATCTGCCAGGTTGGCTTGGATGGTGTCTTTCTATTTTGCAGAAGGGGCTTGGTACAGATGGTCTTTGGAGGAAACCTTCTGGATATAAGAGTCGATAAATGTTCAGAATGGAAACATTCACAACGGAGTGGCTGGTGATGGAGTCTCCATCTTTGGAGGTCATGAAGTCATGACTGGATAATCATCTGTTGCTAAGGCTTGCCTTGTATCTTTCAGGGCAGGAGGGGGCTGGACTGGATGGTCTTTGAAAGTCCCTCCCATCTCTGGGATTCCCCTCTCTTTGGCAAACTTTGCAAAAGTTCTCTGCGCCTTGTAGGAGGAGGCAGGAAAGGGGAACTTGCCCCAGTGGTTGCGCCTTTGGAGAGGTCGGGTGCCTCTTTCTGTGTCTCTCTTCTCCAAACCGGGGGGAAAGGAAGGGAAGGAGGGGCAGGAAGGGACGTAGCCGGCGGCCCGGACTAGCCCTGCCCCGCTGCTGGGAGCCCTTCCCGGCCGGATCCCTGCCCTCGGGCCCCTTCGCCCCTTCCCCTCCCTTTCTCCCTCCGGAGCGCCAAAGGAGCAGCAGCCATGGGGCGCATCGAGTGGGCCATGTGGGCCAACGAGCAGGCGCTGGCTTCGGGGCTGAGTGAGTCTTTGCAAAGTCGGGGTCTTGTTTCCTTGTTGTTGGGGGAGGAGACCTAGACACCAATAGAGGGGAGGGGGTCCTAAGACCCACCCAAAGCCAGCCCAAAGGAATGCGCTTTGGCACCACTTGGAGAGCCAGGGCGCAAAGCTATGGACATCAAGAGCACTTGCAGCTTGGCAAAACTTTTTGGTTTGATGGCGACCCATCAAACCACATTCCCCCACATCATCCCCATAGCACAAACCCATAGGATAGTGTTTCTCAACCTTCCTAATGCCACGACCCCTTAATACAGTTCCTCATGTTGTGGTGACCCCCAACCATAACATTATTTTTGTTGCTACTTCATAACTGTTATGTTGTTGCTGTTATGAATCATAGTGTAAATATCTGATTTGCAGGATGTGTGTTCATTCACTGGACCAAATTTGGCACAAATACTCGATACGTCAAAATCTGAATACTGGTAGGGTTGGGGGAGGGATTGATTTTGTCATTTGGGAGTTGTAGTTGCTGGGATTTATAGTTCACCTACAATCAAAGAGCATCCTGAACTCCACCAACAATGGAATTGAACCAATTTGGCAAACAGAATACCCATATACAACAAAAAATACTGGAAGGGTTTGGTGGACGGTGGCCTTGAGTTTTGGAGTTGTAGTTCACCTACATCCAGAGAGCACTGTGGACTCAAGCAATGATGGATCTGGACCAAACTTAGCATGGATACTCAATATTTCCAAATGGAGTTTGGGGTAAATAGACCTTGACATTTGGGAGTTGTAGTTGCTGGGATTTATAGTTCACCTACAATCAAAGAACATTCTGAACCCCACCAACATTGGAATTGAACCAACTTGGCAAACAGAATACCCATATACAACAAAAAATACTGGAAGGGCCTTGAGTTTTGGAGTTGTAGTTCACCTACATCCAGAGAGCACTGTGGACTCAAACAATGATGGATCTGGACCAAACTTGGCATGAATACTCAGTATTCCAAATATGAACACTGGAGAAAATAGACCTTGACATTTGGGAGTTGGAGTTGCAGGGATTTATAGTTCACCTCCAATCAAAGAGCATTCTGAATCCCACCAATGATAAAATTTGGCCAAACTTCCCACAGAGAATCCCTACGACCAACAGAAAATACTGTGTTTTCTGGTGGTCTTTGGTTACCCCTCTGACACCCCCTCACGACCCCTCTAGGGGTCCTGACCCCCAGGTTGAGAAATGCTGCCATAGGAGTTCAAGTGGTGCCAAATGACCCCCAGGTTGAGAAATGCTGCCATAGGAGTTCAAGTGGTGCCAAACTGCATTAATTCTACAGTGTGGATGTGCACAAAATGCTCATTGTTTCAGATCTTCCTTTCTGTGCATTTTGTCTCCAAACAGCAACTTTGGGCATCACTCTTTGAAGTGCTCCATTCTGTGAAGTTGTAGTATTCCAAGGCTTTTGAGCCTTTTCCTGCCGAAAGAGCAATTAATTTATCGTGTCAGAAGCACATTGAGGGTACAGTTAAAATGCATTTAAAGTTTTGGTTTTTTTACAAAAAAACATGGTATGATGCTAAATGGGTTGTTGTGATTTTCCAGGCTGTATGGTCATGTTCCAGCAGCATTCTCTCCTGATGTTTCGCCTGCATCTGTGGTAGGCGTCCTCAGAGGTTGTGAGGTCTGACAACCTCTGAGGATGCCTGCCATAGATGCAGGTGAAACGTCAGGAGAGAATGCTGCTGGAACATGGCCATACAACTCAGAAAACTCACAACAACCCAGTGATTCCAGCCACGAAAGCCTTCAACAATACATTATGTGAAATGTTGTTTGATCAGAAGCTGGCCTCTTGGAATGCCTTTGGTTTTGCTGTGAGAAGGTCCTCCGTTGTACATGTGGCAGGGCTCAGGCCACACTGTAATAGGTGGTCTGTGATTTGCTGTTCTCCACACTCGCATGTCATGGACTTCACTTTATGGCCCCATTTCTTAAAGTTAGCTCTGCATCTCGTGGTGCCAGAGCACAGCCTGCTCAGTGCCTTCCAAGTCTCCCAGTCTTCTGTGTGTTCAGGAGGGAGTCTCTCATTTGGTCTCAGCCACTGATTAAGGTGCTTGGTTTTAGCCTGCCACTTTTGGACTCTCGCTTGCTGAGGTGTTCCTGCAAGTATCTTTGTAGACCTTATGAAGCTGTTTCTTGAATTAAGGCATTGGCGTGCTGGCTTGATATCTGAACAGAGGATAGACTGGAGATGTCACTGCCTTGGTCCTTTCATTTCTGGCTGCTACTTCCCGGCAGATATCAGGTGGTGCAATACCGGCTAAACAGTATAATTTCTCCAGTGGTGTAGGGCATAGACATCCTGCGATAATGCACCATGTTTCATTAAGAGCCACATCAACTGTTTTGACATGGTGTAATGTTTTCCACACTGGGCATTCGTATTCAGCAGCGGAGTAGCCAAGTGCAAGGGCAGGTGTCTTCACTGTGTCTAGTTATGATCCCCAGGTTGTGCCAGTCAGCTTCCATATGATATTATTTCTAGCACCCATTTTTTGCTTGCTGGTAAAGCAGTGTTTCTTGTAAGTCAGGGCACGGTCTAGGGTCACTCCCAGGTATGAGGATGTGCTGCAATGCTCCAGTGGGATTCCTTCCCAGGTCATCCTCAGAGCTCGGGATGCTTGTCTGTTCTTAAGGTGAAAAGCACATGCCTGTGTTTTGGATGGATTAGGAATCAGTTTTCCCTGTAAAAGGCAGTAAGAGAACCTAAAGCTTTGGAGAGTTTTTGTTCAACCATTTCAAAGCTCCCTGCTTGAGCGGTGATGTCGCCATCGCCAGCATAGATGAAACTCTCTGTCTCTTCTGGCAGTAGCTGGTCATTTGTGTAAATGTTGAACATTAATAGAGCAAACACGCTCCCCTGAGGCAGGCCGTTCTTCTGTTTCCGCCATCTGCTTCTCTAGCCCTGGAACTCAACAAAAAAGCTCCTGTTTTGTAGCAGAATTCCAATGAAGTGAGTGAGATGGTATTCCTTTGTGATGTTATACATTTTTCTCAGGAGAAGGGGATGATATGCTGCTCACAGGTCTATAATAATAATAATAATAATAATACTTTTTTAATACCCTGCCATCATCTCCCCAAGGGGACTCGGGGCAGCTTACATGAGGCCAAGCCCAACAACACAGCAGTAAACACAAAACAGCAAGCAAATAAAACAGTACAATTAAAATAACTTACATATAAACAGTAACACACAGAATTTAAAACCTTATGAAGACAGCTCCTGTAATCTGCTGTTCAAGCAACGAGGCTTCACCAAACACTTCCAAACGACACTTTGGAAGGCATTCTACTCCAGAAACTTTGTTTTTGTGGCCCAAACTCTCTTGAATTGGTTGAGACCCTATGAGATATTCATTGGGAGTTTTCCAGGCTGTGTGGCCCTGTTCCGGAAGCATTCTCTCCTGACATTTTGCCTGCATCTATGGCAGGCATCCTCAGAGATTGTGAGGTCTGTTGGAAACTAGGAAAATGACGTTTATATGTCTGTGGAATAATATCCGGAGTGAGAGAAAGAACTCTTGTCCGTTGGAGGTAGGTGTGAATGTTTCAATTGGCCACCTTGACTAACATTTAATGTCCTAGCAGTTTCAAAGTCTGGCTTCTTACTGCCTGGGGGAATCCCTCATTGGGAGGTGATTGGCTGACCCTGATTGTTTCATTCCACATATATATAAACCCCATTTTCCTAGTTTCCAACAGACCTCACAACCTCTGAGGATGCCTGCCATAGATGCAAGTGAAACGTCAGGAGAGAATGCTTCTGGAACATGCCCAGACAGCCTGGAAAACTCACAGCAATCCCCATATGGATTTATTTGTATTTTTAAGGCAAAGTAAGATTCGTGCTACAGGACATTTACAAATTTACGAAGTTGGGAAACTTTCCTGTTTTTGGACTGCCATGCCCACAATCCCCTAAGAGTAAATAAACTCAAATCTTTGTGTATCTGTGTATTTGAGTCTCTCCGTCTTCCACCTTAGAGAAAGATAAAGGCTTAGGAGTGTTCAAATTGCAAATCCCAAAAAAGCGCCAAACTACAACTTCTAAAAATCTGACAAATTCATTGCCCAAGGGTGGAAGGCAGAGCAAGTGAAAGATTGTTTTGAATGTATAGATCCTACAACTTCTCTCTTTTTTGGAAACTATCTTTAGCTTTCGAGTTAGTTACGGTTTTTCCGTTTTATAAATAGCCCTTTTTTGTGCTCTTGCTTCCTTTGCAACTCCTCAAAGAGGAAGAAGTGACTTCAATCAACGGTAAGGTTTGAGGAAGTAAAAGAACTAAATTGAGAAGGAAACGGCAGGGGGGAAAAAAGGCACAGATAGGTTGGGGGAGGATAGCACCCCGTTCAATATGGCATTGTTGTGTGCCAAAAGCAAGGACCAAACTGGCTTTGTATGCAAGAGGAGATAAGTCATGTTTCTGGGTTGTTAATACAGAGTAAAGAGAGCCAGCATCGCCTTGGACCATAGCTCTGGAGCAGGCTTGGGCAAACTTTGGCCTTCCCTCCAGGTTTTTTGGACTTCAACTCTCACAATTCGTAACAGCCTCAGTGCCTTTCCTTTTCCCCCTCAGCCGCTTAAGCTGGCCACTTCCTGAACAGACTACTGCAACACACTCTACTTGGGGTTGCCTTTGAAGACTGTTCGGAAGCTTAAAGTGGTTGCCGGTCTGCTATCGAGCACAATTCAAAGTGCTGGCTTTGGCCTATAAAGCCCTAAATGGTTCCGGCCCAGCTTACCTATCTGAACACATCTCCCCCTATAATAATAATAAGGTAAAGGTTTCCCCTTGACATTTAGTCTAGTCGTGTCCGACTCTGGGAGTTGGTGCTCATCTTACTTTCTAAACCGAAGAGCTGGCGTTGTCCATAGATGCTTCCAAGGTCATGTGGCTGGCATTACTGTATGGAGTGCCATTACCTTCCAGCAGAAGCAGTACCTATTGATCTACTACATTTGCATGTTTTCGAACTGCTAGGTAGGCAGAAGCTGGGGCTAACAGCTGGAGCTCACCCTGCTCCCCGGATTCGAACTGCCAATCTTTGGGGTCAGCAAGTTCAGCAGCTCAGTGCTTTAACCTGCTGCACCATCAGTATTGTTTGTTTGTTTATTTACTACATTTGCATAGTGCTCTTCTCACCCCAAAGGGGACTCAGAGCAGTCTCACAGATAGGCAAGAATTGGGTGCCAGAAGACATACAGACATTAAATATCATAAACATTAAAAACAAGAAATTAAAACATAACAGCATTAAAACAAGTCAGCAAGTTCAGCAGTTCAGCAGTTTAACCCGCTGTGCCACTGGGCCCCCAATAATAATAATAATAATYATYATYATYATYATAATAATAATAAAGAACAAGCCATTAGAACAAATGCCATCAAAGCCAYAATTGAAAAGTTGYRGACAGATCCCCAGTGTAGACTCTGCAAGGAAGCAGACYAAARGATAGARCACATCRTCAGCTGSTGCAAGAAGATCYRGCAGACAGACTACAAGCAGYGGCARAACACRGTTGCTCAGGTGATTRATTGGAACTTGTGCCACAAATACCATCTGCCTGCGACAAAGAACTGGTGGYATCACAAGCCMGYAAAAGTRACAGAYAATGAACARGRSAAACTCCTCTGGGACTTRCYAATTRYGACWGAKAGYGTTTTGGAGCARAAMACTCCTGWCCTCARYATRGTGMMAAAAAACAAAGTATGGAWCGTCYARGTTGCAATCCCAGGTGACAGCAGGATTGKAGAGAAACAACTGGAAAAGCTGACATGATATGAGGATTTAAAGACAGAACTGCAAAYACTCTGGCACAAGCCAGTAAAGGTGGTCCCAGTGGTGATCACCACATGGGATGTAGTGCCTTAAGACCTTGGCCTGCACTTAAACACAATCGGCACAGACAAAATTACCATCTGTCAACTGCAAAAAGCCACCCTACTGGGATCTGCACGCATTATTCGCCGATACATCACATCGTCCTAGACACTTGGGAAGGGTCCGACGTGTGATCCAATTCAACAGGCAGCAGTGATTTTGTTTGCTGTGTATTAATCTTGTGTATCAAATAATAAATATAAAGAGCACCACCCTACAGAGTTGGACACAGCTAGATTTAATATCAAGGGAAAACCTTTACTTTACCTTACAATACATTACACAATGTATTAAAACATGTAATTTACATAATTATCATGAAATTATCATTTACGCCATTAATCACCAGCTAAGGTAGAGTTCCAAATTTGTTTCCTTTCCGTTCAATTTATCAGTGTTGCAAGCTTTATTTTCCACAAAGGAGTGGGGAAACCTTGCCTTTCTTTTAGTCTCATTAAGAGAAGAAAATGGGATAGAAATACATATAATAATAATAATAATAATAATAATAATAATAATAATAATAATGTATATTTTTCCAAAGTTCTCTTCTTTCTACTCAAATGAGTGAGTCAAGCTGCAGAGATGGGGAACGAGAATAGCTGGATTCTCATTTTTGAACCACATTTTGCAACGGTTTTCATTTCCAAATTCTTGGTTTCGTTGCCACAGATGCGAATCACGAATCACGCCCGTTTCTCTCCTCTTTTGGCTGGCCTCGTCTTAAGAGGAAGTGGCTAAGTCGGCCTTTTCCCTTTTGACCACGGCCTTCTAATCCTCTCGCATTGTTTGGGTTTTGCCTTGTGATTGTAGTCCATTCCTCAGAAGGGATTTTCATTTCCAAGGGCCTCTCCGTTCAAGTGTGGCTTCAAACGCCTCCGTCACTCCATTTAAATGCCAACACAAAAGTAATATTTGAAAATTATACATAATAGAAAATAACATTAATATACAAACTGGCCTCAAAGGTCTAATGCCTAGCTTTTGTCGATGCAGATTTTTCAATAACGTCAGTCAAACTTACTGTATATACTCGAGTATAAGCCTAGTTTTTCAGCCCCTTTTTTAGGCTGAAAAAGCTCCCTTCGGCTTGTACTGGAGTCAATGTTATTTATTTATTTTCTCTGTTATTAGCATTATTTTTATTACATTTATTTTACACTATTTATTATTATTATTATTATTATTATTATTATTATTATTACATTTACAATAATAATAATAATTATTATTATTATTACTTATTTATTTGATCAGTCATATGACCATTTCAAAATAGAACACGAGTAAAAAAAACAAGGCAAAAAGGTGAGGACAGCAGCCGACCTTCTATTTATAGTCAGAATCTTATTTTCCTGGTTCTTCTTTCAGGAAATCTGCTCTTTTCTTAATAGCTTTCAGAATAAAAAGGCTTACTCTGAATATGCTGGGGGTTTTTTCGGGCTATAGGCCATGTTCTAGAGGCATTTCTCCTGACGTTTCGCCTGCATCTATGGCAAGCATCCTCAGAGGTGAGGTCTGCTGGAACTGGGAAAAAAAGGGGTTTATATATCTGTGGAATGACCAGGGTGAGACAAAGGGCTTTTGTAAGTTGGGCTAGGTGTGATCTTTCAACTGACCACCTTGATTAGCATACAATGGGCTGACTGTGCCTGGAGCAAACTCTTCTTGAAAGGTGATTAGATGTCCCTGCCTGTTTTTCTCTCTACTCTGATTATGTTGGATCTTTCCTGCCCTTGCAAGAGGGATGTCAGAATATCATTTCTGTTGGACAAAACACAAAGTATTGCATTTTATTATTACATTTACAGTATTTTACCCTATTATTATTAATTTATTATTTTACCCTATTTATTATTGTCATTACATTTATTAATTTACTTTATTATTATTATTGCATTTATTATTTTACTCTATTATTACTGTTATAATTGCATTTCCATTATTTTACTCTATTATTATTATTATTATTATTATTATTATTATTTTACTCTCTTTATTATTGTTGGAAGGATACGTAAGTATGTTTACATTAAAGAAGGTTAGAATAATGATTTAATCACTTTCCTATACTTTATTGTTCTCACTCTTTCGTTGTAATCTATATAAAAATTAATAAAATTCTAATTTTAAAAAAATGATTTAATCAGAGTTGGGGCGTCTTATCTTACATTACAACACAACCAATGCTAAGTCTTCCCGCCAAAATGGAACTGTAGAGGAGAGTCTCCTAAACAAGCCAGTACCTGCCGCGTACCAGTATTGCCATCTGTTGAGGAGTTACGAAGGTAGAGGCATTACTTTTCATTCCACCCTCATAATATAATATAATATAATATAATATAATATAATATAATATAATATAATATAATATAATATAATAATATAATATAATAAATATATAATATAATATAATACTATAATGTAATGCAATATGATAATATAATTAAATATTTTATATTACATGTAATAGTACTAATAATATTACAATATAATGGTATAGTACCATATAGTTATATATCTTGTAAGCCTCTCTGATTCCCCTTTGGGGTGAGAAGGGTAGCATATAAATGTCGCAAATAAATAAATAAAATATTCTAATTTTTTTTTTTTGTCGTGTCAGGAGCGACCTGAGAAACTGCAAGTCACTTCTGGTGTGAGAGAATTGGCCGTCTGCAAGGACGTTGCCCAGGGGACGCCCGGATGATTTTGATGTTTTATCATCCTTGTGGGAGGCTTCTCTCATGTCCCCGCATGAGGAGCTGGAGCTGATAGAGGGAGCTCATCCGCCTCTCCCTGGATTCGAACCTGCGACCTGTCAGTCTTCAGTCCTGCCGGCACAGGGGTTTAACCCACTGCACCACCGGGGGCTCCCAATATTCTAATAATATAATATAATATAATATTCTAATAATATAATATATTGTATGTCTATATATCTTGTAAGCCGCTCTGAGTCCCCTTCGGAGTGAGAAGGATGGCATATAAATGTCGTAAATAAATAAATAAACAAACAAAAGCAAAGATGGCACAGTCTGCAAAATGCAAATTATCCTGATTGTTTTGCTAAAGGCAAAAGGCTTCTTTTTTGGATTCTGAGGCAAGAAGTGCATTTAGTTGTTAATATTGCAAAATTGTATTTAAAAGTGGGCAAAAAGCATCAAAATTACTTGATTTCTCTCCCCTTTCTCCATTCAGTTCTAGTGGCCGGCGGCATCGTGGCTGTTTCGGGACAGTTCAAACGTTGGGAATTTGCAGCGTATGCCATGTATCCTTTTGGTGAGAGTCATCCTCTTGCTTCCAGTTCAATCCTACGGTCCTAGATTTCCAGCAACATCTTCCTATTTCATCCCTTTTGCTTTAAACTTCCCTGGAAGGGAAGAAAAACGGTCTGCAATTCTGGTGCAATTTCCAGGACATCATTTGGTAACTGGGCCTCTTCTCGACTTTGCAAAGTTTCCAAACGGTTCAACCACAGAAACTCCAAATTTTGCAATAACAACCTTTGCAAGAAAAGAAAGTATTTCCTCAATTTGGACCAGTCGTAAAAACTGGAAGCCAAGCAAAGACGTGATTAAAGAACCCAATGCTATCCGTGCTTGATCTGTGCCAGGATGAGAAAGCATGGAAAAGTTACTTTTGGGGAACTTGATGTTGTTGGTCGAGATGGCAAAAGGTGTATCAAGGAGGAAATACAAAACTAGGAGAGACTGCAGTGGTTTGGGTTTGCTTTGGCCCGATAATGGGTGCTTCTACACTGTAGAGTTGATGCAGTTTGGTTTCACATTAACTCAATGCTGTGGAATACTGGGTATTGTAGTTTCACAAGGTCGTTCTTTTGCCTTTTCTACCAAACGAACTTTAAATCCTGGGATTTATATTGAGTGGTGCCAAACTGAATTAATTCTACAGTGTAGATCAGGCATGGGCAAGTCCTGACACTGGGTGCTTTTACACTGTAGAGTTAATGCAGTTTGGTTTCACATGGACTCAATACTGTGGATAACTGGGTATTGTAGTTTCACAAGGTCGTTCTTTTGCCTTTTCTACCAAACAAACTCTAAATCCTGGGATTTATATTGAGTGGTGCCAAATTGAATTAATTCTACAGTATAGATCAGGCATGGGCAAGTCCTGACACTGGGTGCTTCTACACTGTAGAGTTAATGCAGTTTGGTTTCACTTGGACTCAATACTGTGGAATACTGGGTATTGTAGTTTCACAAGGTCGTTCTTTTGCCTTTTCTACCAAACGAACTCTAAATCCTGGGATTTATATTGAGTGGTGCCAAACTGAATTAATTCTACAGTGTAGATCAGGCATGGGCAAGTATCTAACTTGGGCACCATATGGCAGGCCGGAACTTGGTGGGTGGGCCGGGAGGGAGGGGTTCTCTCCAAGCCCCCTCCCTGCCCTTTCCTCCCCTTCCTCTTCTCTTTCGGAGGCAGAAAGTGAAGGAAAAACAGGAAATGTTTGGATCCCAAAAGGGTTTGTCAGGATGAGATGTTTGACGGGAGAGAAAAGTGTCTCCATTAGACCCTCATATTGCCTATCCTGATATAGAATCCTAGAACTGGAAGAGACTCCCAAGGGCCATCCAGTCCAACCCCTTGCCCTGCAGGAAGGCACCATCAAAGCACTCCCAACAAAGAGCCTCTGCGGAAAAGCCTCCAGAGAAGGAGACTCCACCTCACTCCCAGGCAGCCTGTGCCACTCTCCAGGAAGTTCTTCCTAATCTTTTCTGTTGAATCTTTATTTACCTGCCATTTGAACCCATTGCTCCCTTCTTGTGCCCTGGTCTCTAGAGCAGCAGAAAGTAAGTTTTCTCCCTCCCTTCTCCTCAATGGGACACCCTTTTACATCTTGAAACATGGTTCTCATGTTCCCTCTCAACCGTCTCTTCTCCCAGCTAAACATCCCCCCGGGGGAAAGGAAGAAGGAAAAAGAGAAGGGAGGGAGGAATAAAGGGGGAAGGGAGGGAGAGAGGAAAGAGAGAAGGAAGGAAAGACTAAAGGGAAGGAAGGAGAAAGAGAGAGGGAAGGAAAGGAAGGAACGACAAAAGGGATGGAAGGAAAGGAAGGATGGAAGGAGAAAGGGAAGAAAGAAGGAAGGGAGGGAGGAAGAGAAGGATGGAGGGAAGGAAGGGTGGAAGGGAATGAAGGGAGGGAGGGAGAAGGAAGGAAAGACAAAAGGAAGGAAGGGACGGAGGAAGAGAAGGAAGGGAAAAAGGAAGAGAATGATGGAAGAAAGGAAGGAAGGGTGGTAGAGAATGAAAGGAGGGAAGGGAGAAAGGGAGAGAGGGAAGGAAAAAAAAGAAAGGAAGGTAGGATGACAGGGTGGAAGGGAAGGATTGAAGGAGAAAGGGTGGTAAGGAAGGAAGGGAAGGATGGAAAGATGATGGAAAGAGAGAAGGGAGGGAGGAAGAGAAGGATGAAAGGATGGAAGGAGAAAGGGAGGTAAGGAAGGAAGGGAAGGATGGAAAGATGATGGAAAGAGAGAAGGGAGGGAGGAAGAGAAGGATGGAAGGATGGAAGGAGAAAGGGAGGTAAGGAAGGAAGGGAAGGATGGAAAGATGAAGGAAAGAGAGGAGGGAGGGAGGAAGAGAAGGATGGAAGGAAGGATGGAAGGAGAAAGGGAGGTAAGGAAGGAAGGGAAGGAGGAAAGAGAAGGAAGAGGGAAGAAGGGTTGAAGAGACTGAAGGGAGGAAAGGAGAAGGAAGGAAGTCAAAAGGGACGGAAGGAAAGGAAGAAGGAAGAAAGAAAAAAGGAAGGGTGGAAGAAAGAAGGAAGGGAAGGGAGAAGAAAGAAAAAACAAAAAGGAAGGAAGGAAGGGAAGGAGGGAGGGAAGAGGGAAGGGAGAAAGGGTGGAAGGGAAGGAAGGAGAAAGAGAGAGGTAAGGAAGGGAAGAATGGAAGGCGGAAGGAAAGAGAGAAGCAAGGAAGGATAGGATGGTGAGAGAGAGGAGGGCCTGTGTCTACCCATGCCTGGTGTAACTGCATTCTAAGTATCCTATGTGAATAATGTTGGGATCAACATTACAAACCCACCAAGAAAATCCAACAAATGCTACGTTCAGCAAAGGACAAGAGGGATCCTCTCACCTCTGCAGGAGTCTACCGTATACCATGCAGCTGTGGACAAGTCTACATAGGGACCACCAAACGCAGCATTGCCCAAACACGAATCAAGGAACATGAAAGGCACTGCAGACTACTTCAACCAGAGAAGTCAGCCATAGCAGAGCACCTGATGAACCAACCTGGACACAGCATTTATTTGAGAACACAAAAATGCTGGACCACTCTCACAACCACCATGTCAGACTACACAGAGAAGCCATTGAAATCCGCAAACATGTGGACAATTTCAACAGAAAGGAGGAGACCATGAAAATGAACAAAATCTGGCTACCAGTATTAAAAAATTCTAAAATTGCAACAGCAAAAACAGCAGAGAGAAAAACAGGCAGGGACATCTAATCACCTTTCAAGAAGAGTTTGCTCCAGGCACAGTCAGCCCATTGTATGCTAATCAAGGTGGTCAGTTGAAAGATCCACACCCAGCCCAACTTACAAAAGCCTTTTGTCTCACCCTGGTCATTCCACAGATATATAAACCCCTTTCCCAGCTCCAGCAGACCTCACCTCTGAGGAAGCTTGCCATAGATGCAGGCGAAACGTCAGGAGAAATGCTTCTAGAACATGGCCATATAGCCCGAAAAAACCCACAAGAACTGAATGTTGGGATCATTTGGATTTCTGGATAAGTTATATGGAAGTTGTATGGAGGAACTTCCGCCTCCTTGAGCAATGCAAAGAAGAGGTTATGGGTTGCTAGAAGGCTTTTTGTAGCATATTTTGGACGAATCTTGTTCAAAAATAGCTTTTCCTCCCTTTCTTTTTCTCCTTAACTGTTTCCTCCAAAGAGCAGCCGGGGTTTTTATTTGCCTCCTGGAATATCCGAGAGGGAAGCGGAAAAAGGGCTCCACGATGCAGAGATGGTAAGATATCCTTTTCGAAAAGATACATCTACACTGGAAAATGAATGCAGTTTGTCACCACTTTAACTGGCATGGCTCCGTGCTATGGAATCCTAGGAGTTGCAGTTTGGAGAGGCGCCATCAGTCTCCAAACCCTAAATAAGCCTGGGAGTTGTAGTTTTACAAGGTTCTTTGCCTTCTCTGCCGTCTCCGGCAACTCCCAGTCTCCTATAGCATGGATCTGTGGCAGTTTAAGAGGCAGGATTTGTGATTTGGAGACTCTTAAGAAGTTTCCCCTAATCATAGTGTGGTTGCTTATATCCAAAATGTTTCTTTCTGAAGTGATAACAATACCGAATTTTACTTGTTTTTTAAACTATGCTAGAGCTAGTTGATATAGCGTTTTATGTTATATTTTAAGGGCCAGCTAACACCTCCCCACAAAGGATTCCCCCAGGCAGGAAGCAGCCAGGCTTTGAAACTGCAAGGCCATTCAGTGCTAATCAAGCTGGGCAATTTGCAACATTCACGCTTGCCTCCAACAGACGAGAGTTCTTTCTCCCACTCTGGACATTATGCCACAGATATATAAACCCCACTTGCCTGGTTTCCAACAGATCTCATGTTCCGTCTCCCAGGAGCCTGATTTGCCTTACTTTATAGTTGCTTGAGGTTGCTTCCTCTTGCATTTTCTCCCAGGGCTGCTGCCGCTTTGCAAGACTCCTAAAAGTTAATAGTATTAGAGTCTGCAGGTCTCTTTGCAACTATTGGCTTAGAGAGCAGCTCTTTGAGTTTAGGGACCGCCTTTTCTCCCAGGGAAAGATCTCCATTTTAGATTCTCCCCTGCCTTTTCAGTTAGAGGAAAGACTTCAGATGTGCTGGTGTCTAGGCAGTTAGCTCTGGGAAAACCATTGCAAAAACTATACATTATAGATAAGTATTAAGCTATATTGAGTTAATATAGATGGTATATTGTGTATTGAGCTGTATTGAGATATTATAGTTAGATAAGCTTTTTTGAGAAGATTGAGTTATATAGTTATAGAGAGAGAATCTTCACTACTTTGTCTCCAGAACTGACCTTAAGTTATAGATAGGGAAAAAGCCTGCCTTTTTCTAAACCACAARAGCTTAAGGTTAGGGTGTAAAGATTCCAGGATCTTATTTGCCTTCTGGAGAAAAGGTTACCTCTGTAACTAAAGAAAGGAAAGAATATTTTTGTAGTTTCATCTATTGACTGTTTGTTTGCAACTGTGATGAACTGTGCCAAGTCTTCAAGGACTTTGAATAAATAAATATTCTTTTTTTTATGTTTAAAACCAGTAATAGTCTCAGTTGCTGAGTATCTCAAGCTTCTCAAGATAGACACTTGCAGTTCGCTCAGGCATAGAGAGAAGCACGTCGCAGTTTTATTTTTTTATATCGTCTGGGCGGACGGCACGTCTCACTATTATGAACCCAGATACGCCTTACTGCTTTCTCAAAATCCTCGCTTTGTCTGCCAGGTCCGACCTTTATCATGCTTTGAGCGAACTCCATTTTTGTTCTTCAGGCCTGTCGCCTTCTGGTCTTCTTCACACATTCGCTCTTTAAATCGCAACCTCTGAGATGCCTGCCATAGTTGTGGGTGAAACAGCAAGAGAGAAGTCTTCTGGAACATGGCCATACAGCCCGGAAAACTCACAGCAACCCAGTGATTCCGGTCATGAAATCCTTTGACAACACAATCGGTTACTATTTATTCGGGTTGTTGTAGGTTTTTTCGGGCTGTATGGCCATGGTCTAGAGGCATTCTCTCCTGACGTTTCGCCTGCATCTATGGCAAGCATCCTCAGAGGTAGTGAGGTCTGTTGGAACTAGAAAAAAGGGGTTTATATATCTGTGGAATGACCAGGGTAAGACAAAGGGCTCTTGTCTGCTGGAGCTAGGTGTGAATGTTTCAACTGACCACCTTGATTAGCATACAATTGAAACATTAAAACAGGATTAAATATAAACATGATTGAAAGAATCCCTAGTTAAAAACCATTCAAACATTACAACTATGTAACAAAATCTGTTCCTTGTTTGAAAGTGTTATTTCCTGTTTAGGTTGTGCGGTCCTGACTTGGAAAACTTTGTTTTCGTTGCATAAACTATATTAAATTGGTTGGGACTCGGTGAGATATTCATTGAAAAACTAGAGCAAAATGTGCTGCAAGGTGATGTCCCTCCCGCAAAGACAAAGTTTTTGCAATTTAATAAACTTTCTGCATGTTTTGTGATAGATCCAGTTAGGAAATGACATTGATAACCCAGGAACAAAAATAATGTTGTTACACATAGTGTTGTTATTACGGTTCTTGGTGTCTCACGGCTTTCTCTTTTCCCTTTGGTCTCCCACAGCGGCCAGCAGTATTTCACTCCCGTTGTGAAGGTGTTTGGACCCCTCACCAGAAATTACTATGTCCGGTCCATCTTACATGCTTGGTAAGGGGAGGAATCCCTGGGCGAGAGCGCTGCCTTGAAACACTATCTCTATTTTCCTCCCCATTAGACTTCTTGTTTTTGTATTTGTATTTCACGTTTTGTATAATTGCCATTTACTGAGAGTGCAGTTGCCATTAAGGTCCTGAGAATTTAAGACGAGAGAGAGGAATCCCTGGGTGAGAGCACTGCCTTGAAACACTATCTCTATTGGGTTGTTGTAGGTTTTTTCGGGATGTATGGCCATGGTCGAGAGGCATTCTCTCCTGATGTTTCGTCTGCACTTTGGCAAGCATCCTCAGAGGTAGTGAGGTCTGTTGGAACTAGGAAAAAGGGTTTATATATCTGTGGAATGACCAGGGTGGGACAAAGGACTCCTCTCTGCTTGAGCTAGGCGTGAATGTTTCAACTGACCACTTTGATTAGCATTTAATGGCTTGGAAGTGCCTGGGGGGAATCTTTTGTTGAGAGTGATTTGATGTGCCTGATTGTTTACTCTCTGTTGTTTTGCTGTTGTAATTTTTGAGTTTTTAAAATACTGGTAGCCAGATTTTGTTCATTTTCATGGTTTCCTCCTTTCTGTTGAAATTGCCCACATGTTTGTGTATTTCAGTGGCTTCTCTGTGTAGTCTGATATGGTGGTTGTGAGAGTGGTCCAGCATTTCTGTGTTCTCAAATAATATGCTGAGTCCAAGCTGGTTCATCAGGTGCTCTGCTATGGCTGATTTCTCTGGTTGAAGTAGTCTGCAGTGCCTTTCATGTTCCTTGATTCGTGTTTGGGCGCTCCATTTGGTGGTCCTTATGTAGACTTGTCCACAGCTGCATGGTACACGGTAGACTCCTGCAGAAGTGAGAGGATCCCTCTTGTCCTTTGCTGAACGGAGCATTGGTTGTATTTTCTTGGTGGGTCTGTAGATAGTTTGCATGTTGTGTTTCCTCATCAGCTTCCCTATGCAGTCAGTGGTTCCCTTGATGTTGAACACTTTCCATGCATCACCCAAGTCCAAAAAGAAGCACCATTAAAGCCTTGGCAGACGGTGCAAAAAGAATCTGCGAACCCCACCTCCTCCAAGATGAATTGAACCACCTCAACTGGGCTCTCCAGGCCAATGGATACTCCACCTCAGACATCAGAAGAGCGGCAAGACCAAGAACAAGCCACGAGAGTAAAGACGAAGATCCACCCAGAGGAAAAGTGTCTCACTACCTCTGAGTGAGACACTACCATAGATGCAGGCAAAACATCAGAAGAGAATGCCTCTAGAACATGGCCATATAGCCCAGAAAAAACCAACAACAACCCAGTGATTATGGCCATGAAAGCCTTCAACAATACATTATTATTATTATTATTATTATTATTATTATTATTATTATTTTTATTTCATGGTTTTGAGTTAGCATTGTGCCATGGCAGTTAATGTGGTGCCAAAGTGCTATAATGCACTATTCCAGCATTAAAACCACCCATGGGACAAAGACCTAGATATGGTTTTGAAGGTGAATGGAGGATGCAACCATATCCTGCCCCGGAGTGTGGTGGAGGCTCCTTCTTTGGAAGCTTTTAAACAGAGGCTGGATGGCCATCTGTCAGGGGTGATTTGAATGCAGTATTCCTGCTTCTTGGCAGGGGGTTGGACTGGATGGCCCATGAGGTCTCTTCCAACTCTTTGATTCTATGATTCTATGATATCCTGTTCACGCATTAAACTTTTTCTGCCCGATTCACCCTTTGTTTTGCAGCTTGGCCGTTCCTGCAGGATTCCTCTTGGCCACGATCCTGGGGACAGTTTGCCTTGCCATCGCAAGTGGCATCTACTTACTGGTAAGACACTATTGACTCCTGGAAAGAGAGGAAGAAATAGTCCTTGGGTGCATCTAGGTTAGGGGTCCTCAAACTAAGGCCCGGGGGCTGAATACGGCCCTCCAAGGTCATTTACCCGGCCCTTGCTCAGGGTCAACCTAAGTCTGAAAAGACTTGAAAGCACACAACAACAACAACAATCCTATCTCATCAGCCAAAAGCAGGCCCACACTTCCCATTGAAATACTAATAAGTTTATATTTGTTAAAATTGTTCTTCATTTTAATTATTATATTGTTTTAAAATGTATGTTGCACTACAAATAAGATATGTGTAGTGTGCATGGGAATTCATTCATGTTTTTTTAAAAAAAATTATAATCTGGCTCTCCAATTTCAAATTATAATCTGGCCCTCCAACAGTTTAAAGGACTGTGACGTGGCCCCCTGTTTAAAAAGTTTGAGGACCCCTGATCTAGGCTGTAAAATTAATGCAGTTGGACACTTCAGTTTCCGTGGAACCTTGGGAGTTCTAGTTTTACAAGGCCACAAGCCTTCTCTCTCAATGAAGGCTGGAGCCTCAGCAAACTACAACTTTTGCTGTATGTTGACCATACAGAATTGCACTGGAGGACCTAAAGATGCTTAGAGAGAACGTTTTAATTACATCCATTGATTATTGATGCACTTCCAGCTGTTGCCTCTAGGTGGGGTCCACAATGCATTTCGGGGAATGTTCCCAAATGTTCCAACAAACAGCTCAAAGAAAGATTCCCCCAGTCACTTCCAAGCCATTAAATGCTAATCAAGGTGGTCAGTTGAAACATCCACACCTAGCTCCAGCAGACAAAACTCCGTTGTCCCACCCTGGTCTTTCCACAGATATATAAACCCATTTTCCTACTTCCAACAGAACTCACTACCTCTGAGGATGCTTGCCATAGATGCAGGCGAAACATCAGGAGAAAATGCCTCTAGAACATGGCCATATAGCCCGGAAAACCTAAACAACCCAGTGATTCCGGCCATGAAAGCCTTCGACAATACATTTAGCTCAAAGATATTTGGGAAATGAAACGTTTGCTGTGCAAAAATAAAATGTTGACGTTGCAATATGAAACTATAATACACACTCTCCGTTGAGTTGGTTGGCCATTTCTTTCTCCTCTTTCCAGGCAGCCACCCGCGGCGAAGAGTGGCAACCCATTGAGTCCAAGCCCAAGGAGCGGCCCCAAGTTGGGGCCACTATCAAGCACCCCCCAACCAACCCTCCGCCTCGGCCACCGCCGGAAGCCCGCAAGAAGCCTGCAGAGGACGATGCTGGCATTGGCGGCCAAGAAAACCCCATTGAGGTCCAAGTGGAAGCGGAGTGAAGGGCAGATGGAGGATGCAGGGGTCAGGAGGAAATGTGGAGGGTCTCACATACGGCCCCCCATCCTCTGCCTTCATGGACTGTTTCTCTTCACCATGCCAAACACTCCTCAGTCTTTCCTGTTGCGTTGATAATGGCTGCCGTATTGCTTGCTGGTTTTTCATCACCATGCCAAACACTCCCCAGTCTTTCCTGTTGTGTCAAAAAGGGCCGCCATAGTTCTTGACCAGTGATGGCCATATTGCTTGACCGATACCTGCCATCTTGCTTGATGATTTTTCATCACCAGGCCAAACACTCCCTAGTCTTTCCTGTGGCATCAGTAATGGCCAATATATTGCTTGATCAGTGGCCACCATATTCCTTGACCAATGGCTGCCATATTTCTTGACCAGTGGCTGCCATATTGCTTGACAGTTTTTCATCACCACACCCAACACTCCCTAGTCTTTCTTCTTGTGTCAATAAGGGCTGCCATAGTTCTTGACCAGTGATGGCCATGTTGCTTGACCAATGGTAACCATATTGATTGGAGGTTTTCATCACCAGGCTCTTTCCTCTTGCCTCGATAATGGCTGCCATATTACTTGACCAGTGCTGGCCATATTGCTTGGCCAGTGGTGCCCCTAATCTTTGACCAACAGTGGCCCTATTGCTTGAACAGTGGTGGCCATACTCCTTGACCAACAGTGGCCATATTGCTTGACCAGTGGTGGCCATAGTACTTGACCAGTGGTGGCTATATTGCTTAACCAGTGGTGGCCATATTGCTCGACCACCAGTGGCCATGTTGCTCAACCAACAGCAAACATATTGCTTGACCAATGGTGGCCATATTACTTGACCAATGGTGGTCTTATTGCTTGACCAATGGTGGTCATATTGCTCAACCAATAGTGGCCATATTGCTCGACCAATAGTGGCCATATTGCTTGACCAATAGTGGCCATATTGCTCAAACAACGGTGGCCATATATGCTTGAACCATGGTGGCATATTGCTCGATCAGTAGTGGCCATATTGCTTGATCAATAGTGGTCATATTGCTTGAACAATAGCGGCCGTAGTGCTTGACCCATAGTGGCCTTATTGCTTGATCAATGGCAGCCAGATTGCTTGACCAATGGTGGTCATATTGCTTGACCAGTAGTGGCCATATTGCTCAAACAACAGTGGCCATATTGCTCAACCAATGGTGGCCATATTACTTGACCAATGGTGACATTACTTGACCAATGGTGGCCTTAATTCTTGATCAATAGTGGCCATATTGCTCAACCAATAGTGGCCATATTGCTTGACCAATAGTGGTCATATTGCTCGAACAACAGTGGCCATATTGCTTGACCCATGGTGGCCTTATTGCTTGATCAATGGCAGCCAGATTGCTTGACAAATGGTGGTCATATTGCTCGACCAATAGTGGCCATATTGCTCGAACAACAGCGGCCATATTGCTCAACCAATGGGGGCTACATTACTTGACCAATGTTGACATTACTTGACCCATGGTGGCCTTATTGCTTGATCAATAGTGGCCTTATTGCTTGACCCATGGTGGCCTTATTGCTTGATCAATGGCAGCCAGATTGCTTGACCAATGGTGGTCATATTGCTCGACCAATAGTGGCCTTATTGCTCAAATAACAGCGGCCATATTGCTCAACCAATGGTGGCCATATTACTTGACCAGTGGTGGCCTTATTGCTTGACCAATGGTAGCCAGATTGCTCACCCAATGGTGGTCATATTGCTCGACCAATGGCGGCCTTATTTGCTTGAACAATGGTGGCTTTATTACCCGACCAGCAGCGGCCATATTCCTTGACCAATGGTGGCCATATTGCTTGACCAATGGTGGCCATATGAGGACAGGACACTGTTTCTAATTTTGCTGAAATTGAGAAGCCTCTCCCCTTTCCATATCTCTTTCTATTCTCTATAGAGTTTCTTGTGTTTTTACATTGTAATAAAATGACTTCAATTGTCATCCATTTTGTTGTCATATTTTGCTGGGCAATGGTATGAGTTCCAGGGTTCAGTTTTTCTCCCCAGATCCTTCCTATCACTTTTTTGTGTATTTTACTGAACACTTTCACACACAATTACTTTGCATTGAGAAATAAAAATGTTTATTTATCAAAGAAGTCAACAGAGGAAAGGAAAGCGTGCCATGTTGACTCGCCTTCCCTGCCATCATACATTGCATTATATAATACACAATAAATAAATAATTGTGTTAGCTTTTCATAAATAACGTAATAATTTAAGCGGAAAAAATTGGGGCTCCATCAATAATTAACACACTGGGAAATCTAATATATACAATAACATTTAATAATTATTATAATTTAATGCACAGAGAAATCTCACATATATTAGTCATATTTAATACACTGTAAATTCTTATGTATCATTTAAAACTTAAAATATAAATTAATATAAATATACAAATAATAATAAATTAATGTGTTGAAAGCAAGAAAAGGGAAGGACACTCGTGGATGCTTTTTCAAAAATACCTTCTGCTATGCTTTTGTTGGTTGGCAGGAAGGCAATACATAAATACTGTAATAAATAAATAAATACGCAAATAATAAAAGTGTCTTTAAATAAAGGGAGGGAGGAAATCAGTATAATTTGACTTGCTCTATATCTGAATCCGGAAAGGTCTGCATTGTTCTGCCTCCTTTTGAGATCTTTTATGACTAGATGCCATAAAAAGCAGCTACTGAAAAGATGAATTGGAGTACCTCCAAATTAAACGATTGCTGGGATAGCAGATTAGTTAATTAAGTATACATGTTAGTTAAATATACTCAATCAAGTGGTATCCCTTGGCAATCTTATAAGGCAGCAGCTGATGCAAGCGATGGAGCTCTGTTCACCTATGGATTGAGATGCATCAGAATGATGTTTCTACCCCAATTCTTTTCTACAAACTTCAACAATTAGAAGAAGGATCTCTGTCTCATTGGCGATTACAATGGAAATGTCAAGCTGCTTTATCCTGATCAATAGAAGAGATCTCTGCCTCTTGCAGCAGCTGCCATCCAATAAGACAAGATTGCATCATATGTAAGCACACTCTAGAAAACTAAAATGTCTATAGACTTTTGAGATATTTTCGTTTCTTGTACTCAAATTTGCCCATCCATGACTGTTCTGATCCATGGATGCTATTAAAAAGTTCTGAGGGAGTACCCCAGAGCTGAGATTGTCGTTACTGATTTATGTATTCATTGGCTAGACCTCTGCAATCTCTCTTCATTGAACAGCAACAGCTGCAAACAACAGCGCTCTGTTCTCCTATTGATTTAAATGAACCAGAATAATGTTTCTACCTCAATACTATCCATGATAGAAGAAGGATCCCTGTTATTGGGAATCGCTCATGGAAGAGGAATGTACAGGAGAAGAGATCTATGTCACTCACAGCAGCTGCTGCCCAGCAAATTAGCAAACTCTAGTCCAGAAAACCAAATGTCCAGACTTTTGAGATCATGCCCCTCTCCAGATTCTAACCTACAACCTTTCAGTCAGCAAGTTCAGCAGCTCAGTTCTTTAACGCACTGCACCACCGGGGGCCATATGAGATTGTAGATTTGCCACTCAATTAAGGATACAAGTCAGTTATATTCAACCAACTGGGTTCTATTGGCACAACCAATAGTGATTCTAATTGACGAGTAGCAGCTGCTGCAAGCATCAGGACTCTGTTGTCCTAGTGATTGAGAAGCATCAGACTCATGTCCAACTCCATAATATCTGGTCCAACAACCAGAATCAGTATCTCTACGGCACTGGCTATCATTAAAGGAAGGGAAGTGAAAATGTTCATTGCATCCCAATCAACAGAAGAACAGATCTTTGTCACTCGCAGCAGCTGCTATCCAGCAAAAACAGATTTTGTCATGTTAGACAAACTCTAGAAAACAAAAGCTTGTAGATGTTTGAGATCTTTCATTTTCTGGACTAGAGGTTGCCCATACATAACTTTTATGATCCACGTGTATCCCTTGAATCATGGATACAAATTGGTTATGGATATGTAACTTTGGGTTGTGCATTCGTAACCGTGATGGTGAAACCCACCCAGTATTTTTAATCGTTATTGGAGGCATCCAAGCCCTGCTTTGAGGACTTCCAATTTCTGAGAACTGCTCTTAAAATGACAACTAATTTGCCAAAACAATTGGCATTTTTGTGGTTGCCTTTTGGGGTTTGGATCGGGCTCTCTTTCCAACTCCCATCCAGTTAGGAGAGAAAACGCAGAACCTCCTAGTGATAAAGAGCAAGGACACATGAGGATGGGGGAACAGGGAAACAAGCAAGTGCTTTAAAACAAACACAACGGTCAAGACTAACATGTCAAGTCTTGGTTGGGTCCTGGTTGGGTCTGCCACCGACTCCATGGGAGCGTGGGAGGCGTAGACCTGAACTGGGCTCAGCTGCGGACAAGGGCACAAGCACAGGCCACTGGGACTTTGATGGTGGTTGTCTCGAACACAAAACCTTCTGCGTCATCCTCAGGATGCCGGCAGGGCTTGCGCTTCAGCACCATCATGCTCTGCTCCACCGTCACCGAAGTGAGGTCTTTGGTCTCCAGCCCGGTCTTGACATCGATGCAGCCGTTGCAAAGGCACTCGGCAAAGGCAAGATGGCGCGGAATGCGGTCGGCGTCCTCCTTGATGCTGTAGGGAAAGTGCAGGTTCAGTTGCAGACTCCACCTTGGAAAGGTGTGAATTGATTCCCAAACTTTCATCTTCCAGGTGTTTTGGACTCCAGCTTCCATAAATCCCCAACAGCCAGGGATTCTGGGAGGTGAATGCCAAAGCAATTGGAGGACCAACGTTTTTAGGAATCACACCTTCACCTTTCTCCCTCTTCTTTCCTAAAGAATTTGGGGAAGTGTCACCTGGTCAGGTTCATCCTTTGGTGACACTGGATTTTAGCCTCAACTTGAATTGAAATATTCAAGCTTCAGTTCTCAAAGATGTTCAGGTGTTTGACCGATTCCATTGCCACATGTGGCAAACCACAACTCCCATCATCCCAGGCTATGCTTATCGGAGTTGTAATCCAACACAGCTTGGCTTAAGTGCTACAGCTGTCAGAAAGTGTGTCTATACTGTTGAAGGCTTTCATGGTCGGAATCATTGGGCTGTTGTAGATTTTTGAGGCTATATGGCCATGTTCTAGAGGCATTCTCTCCTGACGTTTCGCCTGCATCTATGGCAAGCATCCTCAGAGACAGTGAGGTCTCACTACCTCTGAGGATGCTTGCCATAGATGCAGGTGAAACGTCAGGAGAGAATGCCTCTAGACCATGGCCATATAGCCCGAAAAAACCTACAACAACCCTGTGTCTATACTGTGTTATGAATACTGTTTGACACCACTTTAACTGTTATAGCTCAATGCTACAGAATCTTGGGAGTTGTAGTTGGGCAGACAAGGGTAAAGACCTTGCAAAACTAAACATCCCAAGCTTCCACAGAATTGAGCCATGGCAGTTAATGTGATATCTAGTTGTGAGCTGCTTTGAGTCTCCGTATGGAGAGAAAAAGGCAGGATATAAACAACAGCAACAACATCAAACTGCAATAATTCTCCACTTCTAATCTGACTTGACTATATACATTCATAGCCTATTATTGGTGTCTCTTATGATCCGAAGAGATCATATACATTTATGGCCTATCATATGTGCCCAACTGGGCTATATACATTGCTGTTTTATTATCTGCATCTATTATGATCTGATAGGATAATATACATTCATAGTCAACATGCATACATTTTCTATTCTTCCTTTCCGATTTGACATTCTGTTGTCTGTATCTGACAGCATTCATTCTCTGTTCTGTTAGGATTTAGGACAGACCTGGGCCAACTTCGGCCCTTGAGGTATTTTGGACTGCAACTCCCACAATTCCAACATCCTACCAGCTGTTAGGAATTGTGGGAGTTGCAGTCCAAAACTCCTGGAGGGCCAAAGTTAGCCCAGGCCTGGTCTATGCACCAAGTGATGGCATTGGCCCAGATTTTTATGGTAAATAATGGTACTTACATGTATCTCCAGGGCGAGATGGATCGCTCGCTGATGTCGGCGGTGAGAGTGTTCACCAGCCTGAGGTTTGGGCATCCAGGCTTATGGTGGTGCCGCCGGTGCCGCCGGCGTCCACTCTGCTCACTCTCCAGGACGGGCACCAGCTGGATGGATGGGTGGTCCGCCCACCGGGCGGTCCGGCTCCGGAAGACCTTGGGCACCTCTCCGTCCTCCAGTTCGTCAGCCCGGATACAGTGACTATGATGGCGATGCTGACCGCCGGACAACCTCCGGGCTTCGGTCCAGCCCAGAAGAATGAGGAGAAGCAACAAGGACCGCTGCGCAAGAAGGAAAAGAGAAGGGACATTAAGGACCATCAGTGGCATTTGCCCATTTGAGGCATTCATAGACACACAGAGTTGGAGGAAACCCCCAGGGGTCATTCAATGCAACCCTTTTCTACCAGGTGGGAAGGCACAATCAAAGCCCTCCCAACAGATGGCCATCTACCCCCTGCTTTAAAAACTCTAGAGAAGGAAATATCTATCTATCTACCTCCTGCCCTCCCTCCTTGGTTGCGCCCAATCCAACCTACTTGTACTGGGCAGAAATACACAATTCAAGCCCTCCCAACAGATGGCCATCCAGGCCCTGCTTTAAAAACTCCAGAGAAGGATATATGTCTCTCTCTCCTTGATTGCATCCAATCCAACCTACTTCTATCAGGCAGGAAAACACAATTCAAGCCCTCCTGACAGATGGCCATCCAGGCCCTGGATGATAGAGGTGATAGATGGATAGAGTAATAATAGAATAATAATAATCAATAGAAAGATAGATATAGTATTACTATATTATAATAATAATATAATAAATATAATAGTAAATAAAAGATAGATTCATAGAATCCAAGAATTGGACAGGACTTCAATGGCAGCCAATCCAACCCCTTTCTGCTAGGAAGAAAAGCATAATGAAAGCACTCCCAACAAATGGCCATCCAGCCCCTCCTTTAAAAACTCTAGAGAAGGAGGTAGGTAGGTAGGTAGGTAGGTAGATAGATAGATAGATAGATAGATAGATAGATAGATAGATAGATAATGTAATAATAAATATAATAATAGATAGATAGATAGATAGTTGAAGTCCCTTTCAACTCTAGGATTATAAGGGCATCCAAACCACCCCCTTTCTGCCAGGCAGAAAAGCACACTCAAAACATCCAGCTGCTGCTTTAAAAAACTCCAGAAAAGGATAAACAAACAAATTAATAAATAAGAAGAAGAATAGAGTCCAAGAGTTGGAAGGGGCTTCAAGGGCATTCAACCCAACCCTTTCTGCCAGGCAGAAAAGCATAATCAAAGCCCTCCCAATGGATGGCCAGCCTCTGCTTAAAAACCTCCAGAGAAGAAGACTCCACTGGACTCCAAGCCCTAGAGTTGGAAAAGGCACCCAAGGGTCATTCAGTCCAATCCCATTTTTGCCATGGACATAATCAAAGCCCTCCTGACAGATGGCCAAAATCCTGTGTTCTCAAAATCTTCATTCCACTCCAATGATAAAAGGAATCTCCAGCAGTAAAACTTTTGCCCACCAAGATGTGTCCTTGGACTATATCTCCCAGCATTCAGGGATATGGGAACTGGAATCAAGCTGCCCCTTGGAGAGCTTAGTTTTGCCAATGAATCCACTCTCACTGGAATAAAGGAAAGGCACTTGCTTTTCTACCGCTTGTAAAACTCCCTTTTTTGAAGCATAACTTCATTTGATTCGTAAACAAACATCACTTTATGACCACTTATAAAGTTTACTGAATTTAGAATAAACCCATTAAATTGGTAGAATTTGCTCCCATGTAAACTCATCATTCGACAATTGGGGCTAATGTGTCTGGAATTGATCAAGGAATATAACCAATGGCAATAAAACTGCATTTCTTAATTGGCTCTTACTAGGGATTGATTGAGCGCAATAAGAAAGTATGCATAGGATTGGCTGAAAGATAAACACCAATGACTATTGCAAATGATCACATCTACCCGGCTAGCAAATGGGTGTCATCTGCTCTTACATAACAACCAGCCATAAAAACATGAGAACAACCGAAGGAAGAAATAACGCATTCTTCAGCACGTAGAATTCTCAATGTAGATTCACAATGACAAATGACAAATTCCTCATCCCAAGCACTGGTTGGAAAAGAGAAAGTCTGGTTTGATGCTTGGAGTGCGGACTCCAGAAACTTGGGTCTGAATCCATATGGAAATCCATTGAGTAGATTTGGGCGAGTCACATACTCTCAGCCCCAGATGACCCATATTCAGGTCCGCTTGAATCAGAAACAACTTGAAGGCACACAAAAAGTTGGAGTAGATTCTCTCAATCTCACCATAGGATCAACATAAGCAAGAAATTCTCAACACAGTTAGAACAAACTTTTGGGAAGATGCCATTGGCAAATTCAGCTTGCAAGGCTAGAACTCATCTTCTGGGAGAGGATCAAGGAAACAATGGAGAAAATACTTAAAGTGCCAATACATGAAGATTTAGATATGCTATGAATGGGAGTAATAGCCAATGCCAGAATGAAAACCAAAGAAATATTTGGTATGAATATTTGGGGGGGGGGGGGATTAAAAAAAAACCCATGTTAGCATCACCATAAGTTGGAAACACACGACCAAGTTGGAATAAACTTTGGCCAAGTTAGAGCCCAAGGCTCTTTGGGGCCAAATGATGCTCCAAACCTTACAGAAAAAGATGTGCTCTCTCAGACCCAGAATAAACACCATGTTGTCTTTTTCCATAAGTTGGAAAAAGACAACAAAGTTAGAACAGATCTTTGGGAACATGCCATTGGCACATTCAGCTTGCAAGGCAAGAACTCAGGGTTTAAGATCTCATCTTTTGGAGAAACAGAGATGCACTTTCAGCCCCAGATAACTTCAAATTAAGGTCAGTATAAGTCAGAAACTCACAACCAAGTTGCAATGGACTTTCATGAATATGGTGTTGGTAAGGTTAGAGCTCCAAACCCTAAACTTTTGGAGAGACAAAAAAAATGCACTCTGACCCCCAGAAAACCCATGTTGGCATCACCACAAGTCTGAAAGTTGGAACAGACAGACCACCAGGTTGGCTCTTTGGTGGTCAAACAATGCCCCAAGCCCTAGTCTTTCAGAGGGACAGAAAAAAAGTGCTTTCCATAAGCGTCTCCAAAAGACAGAAACTCACAACCAAGTTGGAATAGGCTTTCATGATTATGCTATTGGCAAGGTTAGAACTCCAAACCCTAAACTTTTGGAGAGACAAAAAAGGTCTGTTTGTTTCAACTTTGTTGTGTGTTTCTGACTTATGGTGATGCCAACTTCCAGGTCGGCCTTTTGCAGCCGAACCATGCTCCATGCCCTAGTCTTTCAGGGGAACAGAGAAAGAAGTGCTTTCCATAAGCATCTCCAAAAGTCAGAAACTCACAACCAAGTTGGAATAGGCTTTCATGATTATGCTATTGGCAAGGTTAGAACTCTAAACCATAAACTTTCAGAGAGACAAAAGAGATGCACTCTGAACCCCAGAAATCCCCATGTTAGCATCACCACAAGTCAGAAACACATCACAAAGTTGGAACAGGCAGACCACCAGGTTGGCTCTTTGGAGGTCAAACGATGCTCCAAGCCCTAGTCTTTCAGAGGGACAGAAAAAAAAGTGCTTTCCATAAGCATCCCCAAAAGTTAGGAACACACAACCAAGTCGGAACAGACTTTCATGAATATGCTGTTGGCAAGCTTAGAACTCCAAACCGTAAACATTCAGAGAGACAAAAGAGATGCACCCTGACTCTCAGCAAACCCCAATTTGGCATCACCATAAGTCAGAAACACACAACAAAGTTGAAACAAACACACCTCCAGGTTGGCTCTTTGGGGCCGAACCATGCTGCAAGCCCTAGTCTTTCAAGGCAACAGAGAAATAATTGCTTTCTATAAGTGTCTCCAAAAGTCAGAAATGCACAACAAAGTTGGAACAGACCTCCAGGTTGGCCAGGTTAGAGCTCAAGGCTCTTCGGGGCCAAATGGTGCCCTTTCTCTGTCAGGAAGACAGAGAAATAAATGTTTTCCATAATCATCTCCAAAAGTCAGAAACACATCACAAAGTTGGAACACAATTCTAGATTGGTTCTTTGGGGCCAAATGATGCTCCAAGCCCTTATCTTTCAGGTGGACAGAGAAAGAAGTGCTTTCCAGAAGTGTCTCCAAAGTCAGAAACTCACAACCAAGTTGGAATAGACTTTAATGAATATGCTGTTGGCAAGGTAAGAACTCCAAACCCTAAACTTTCAGAGAGACAAAAGAGATGCACTCTGACTCCCAGCAAACCCCAAGTTAGCATCACCACAAGTCAGAAACACCACAAAGTTGGAACAGACAGACCACCAGGTTTGGTCTTTGGGGGTCAAATGATGCTCCAAGCCCTGTCTTTCAGAGGGACAGAAAAAGGAGTGCTTTCCATAAGCGTCCCAAAAGTCAGAAACACACAACAAAGTTGGAACAGACTTCCCAGATGGCTCTTTGGGAGCCGAACCATGCCCCAAGCTCTAGCCTTTCAGAGGGACAAAGAAAGAAGTGCTTTCCATAAGTGTCTCCAAACGTCAGAAACTCACAACCAAGTTGGAATAAGCTTTCATAATTATGCTACTGGCAAGGTTAGAACTCCAAACCCTAAACTTTTGGAGAGACAAAAGAGATGCACTCTGAACCCCTGAAAACCCCATGTTAGCACCACCATAACTCAGTAACACATCACAAAGTTGGAACAGGCAGACCACCAGGTTGGCTCTTTGGGGGTCAAATGATGCTCCAAGCCCTAGTCTTTCAGAGAGACAGAGAAAGAAGGGCTTTCCATAAGCATCTCCAGAAGTCAGGAACACACCACAAAGTTGGAACAGATCTCCACATTGGCCAGGTTAGAGCCCAAGGCTCCTTGGGGCCAAATGATGCTCCAAGTCCTAGTCTTTCAGGGAAAGATGTGCTCTCAGAACCCAAATCACCTCCACTTTGAGGTCTCCATAAGTCAGAAAGACACAGCCAAGTGAGAACAGACCTTGTCAGGATTAGAACTCGTAGTCCAAGCCCTGTCTTTCAGAGACGCATAGCGGCACACTCAGCCTCGCCAAACCTGCCCAGGTAAGACAGGTTTCACCTGGCCCTCCCTCCTCGCACTTCTCTGAGGCACCTGGAGGTGGCAGAGGCCGCCCATGTCTTACCATCTTGGCTCAGCAGCGACAGGTGAGATGAGAGAGGAGTAGCAACAGCTCGGCAGGTGAGGATGCTAGTTGGAAAAAAGCCTCTGGCCCTTTCTTTACTTGGCTCTCTCTTTCTTGCCTTCTTTCCCGGCTGGGCCTCAGGGACGGTCTTTGGCTTGCAGTCCCTTTTGCAAAGGCCAGGTGATCTGAAGCCGCCCTTCCACCTGTCCCCATTTATATAGTGTGCCAAGAACAGGGATGTTACACACCTGGAAACTCCAGGTAGCGTTCCCTCCTCCCCTTTGGGGAAATCGCTGCGTCTACTCATTTCCTCCTCCTCTTCTCCCTCTGCTTCTAATCACCCGCTTTCTTTATTCTGCAATCCTTTCTTCTTCTTTTTTCCCTTCTCTTTGGCATTTACCCAAATCACACCTTTTCAAGGCCAAGTTGGTACCTGGCTTGGGGTGCGCCCACACTGTTGAATTAATGCAGTTTGAGACCCCTTGAACTGCCATGGCTCAAGGCAATGGGGTTCTGGGAGCTGTTCTTTTACAAGGTCTGGTGCCTTTGCCAAACTACAAATCCCGGGATTCCCTAGCACTGAGCCGTGGCAGATAAAATGACATCCAACTGCATTGCTGAATCTCAGAGGAGATGCTTTGAGTCTCATTTAAGAGAGGTAAGCAGTATGTAAACAACAACAATAATCTACACTGTAAAATAATAATAATAATAATAATAATAATAATAATAATAATAATTTTATTTCTTACTTGCCTTTCCATGCGTACTTTACAATTAATTAATGCAGTTTGACACTCCTTGAACTGCCATGGCTCAAGGCGATGGGACCCCGGGATCTGCAGTTTTACAAGGTCCAGTGCCTTTGCTAAACTATTAATCCCAGGATTCCTTAGCACTGAGCCATGGCAGATAAAATTATATCAAACTGCATTGCTGAATGTCAGAGGAAATGCTTCAGGTCTCATTTAAGAGAGGAAAGCGATATGTAAACAACAACAATAATCCACACTGTAAAATAATAATAATAATAATAATAATAATTTTATTTCTTACCTGCCTCTCCATGCGCACTGTATAATTAATTAATGCAGTTTGACATCTCTTGAACTGCCATTGCTCAAGGCGATGGGACCCTGGGATTTGCAATTTTACAAGGTCCAGTGCCTTTGCTAAATTACGAATCCCGGGATTCCTTATCACTAAGCTGTGGCAGAAAAAATGACATCAAGTTGCATTGCTGAATCTCAAATAAGCTACTGTGTGTCTCATTTAAGAGAGGAAAGCAGTACACAAATGACAACAACAACAACAGTCCATACTGTATAATAATGATAGTGATAATGATTATAACAATAATTTTATTTCTTACCCGTCTTTCCATGCACACTGTATAATTAATTAATGCAGTTTGACACCCCTTGAACTGCCATGAGTCAAGGTGATGGGATCCTGGGAGCTGTAGTTTTACAAGATCCAGTGCCTTTGCCAAACTACAAATCCCAGGATCCCTGAGCACTTTGCTGTGGCAGATAAAATGACGTCAAGCTGCCCTGCTGAATTTCAAATGGGCTGCTTTGTGTCTCACTTAAGAGAGGAAAGCAGTACACAAATGACAACAACAACAATAATTCACAGTGTAAAATAATAATAATAATAATTATTATTATTATTATTATTATTATTTAATTTCTTACCCGCCTCTTCTTGCAAACCTGAACATTGCAAAAAAAAATAATCAAATATAGATATTTCTATGGAAGATCCACATTAAAACAAATGCATTTTGGAACTATCGTGGCTCAGTTACAGATTCTTGGGAGCTATAGTTTGACAAGATGCCTCGCCAAACTACAAATCCCATGATTCCATAGCATTGAGCCATGGCAGTAAAGTGACATACATACATACATACATACATACATACATATACTCCTGTATATATATTCTATTATGATTGGATAGGACAAAGTTCTTGGGTAATTGGGCACATATCACAGACAATTATAAATATTTTGTGTGCAAAATACCATTTCCTTAACACAACAAATTTCCGACTTTGGCGGTGGTTGAGCTAGATGGCCTTTGGGAATCCCTTTCAGATAGAAAGTCCTGTGATGCTCCTTGAGTCACATGAGATACATCTCCAAAGTTCTCTATATTATTAATAATTAATGATGTGATATCCTGGAGGTGGGAAAACATTGATCGAAAGGCATTTCCAAATTAAATTGGGCACAAACCTAACATTGTGGCATGATCGCTGCTGCTTTCTACCAATTTACCCATCTCTGAAATGCAAGACACTGAAGCAGGTAAAGGAACAATTAACATCATCAATTGGACGTGTTGCTTAGTGCCTCCAAACCATTTCTGACTTATGATGGCTCTATGACTTCAATGTGTTTGAATCTTAGGTTTCTGTGTGGATATATATATATATATGCCTTATGCTCATACCTGTGCATTTTAACTATGTTGTACCTCACTTCGAGGGTAAGAAATAATAATAATAATAATAATAATAATAATAATAATAATAATAATAATACATGATTGATTCAGAGGAGATTAACCTTTGTCTTTTTTCCCTGAGGCTGAGAGAGTGTGGCTTGCCCAAGATTTCATGGATTCGAACCCAAGTCTCCAGAGTCTCATTATTTTAGAGTTGATTTCTAACTGGCAATACCAAATAACAAATGTTAATCACAGGTGAGTTAAAACCAACAACCTTCTTTTCTTTTCTTTTTTCTTTCCTTCCTTCCTTCCTTCCTTCCTCTTCCTTCCTTCCTTCTTTCTTTCTCTTTCTTCTTTTCATTTTTTCCTCCTTCTCTCCTTTCTTCTCCTTCTCTCCTTCCTTCCCTCTTTCTTTCCTTTATTTTTTATTTCCTTTTCCTTCCTTCTTCTTCTTCTCTCCTTTTCCTTCCTTTTCTCCCTTTCCTTCCTTCCTCCTTCCTTCCTTCCTTTCTTCTCTCCTTTTTTCTCCTTCTTTCCTTCCTTCCTTCTTCCTTCCTTCCTTCCTTCCTTCCTCTCCTTCCTTTTGCCTTCCTTCCTTCCTTCCTTCTTCCTTCCTTCCTCCTTCTTTCTTTTCCTTCTTTCCTTCCTCTTTCCTTCCTTCTTTCCTCCTCCTTCCTTCCTTCTTCTTTCCTCCTTCTTTCTTTCCTCTCTCCTCCTTCTCCTTTTTTCTTCCTCTTCTTTCTTCCTTCCTTCTTTCCTCTCTTCCTTCCTTTTTCCTTCTCTCCTTCTTTCTCCTTCCTTCTCTTTCTCTTCTTTCCCTTCTCTCCTTCCTTCTCCTTCCTTTCCTTCCTTCCTTCCTTCCTTCCTTCCTTCCTTCTTCCTTTCCTTCTCTCCTTTCTTTCTTTCTTTCTTCTTTCTTTCTTCCTTTCTCCTCTTTCTCCTCCTTCTTCTTTCCTTCCTTCTTCTTCTTCTTCCTTCCTTCCTTCCTTCTTCCTTTCCTTCCTTCCTTTCTTTCCTTTCCTTCTTCTTTCCTTCCCTCCCTCCTTCTCCTCCTCCTCCCTTTCTCCTTTCCTCCCTCCCTCCCTTCCTCCTCCTCCCTTTCTTTTTCTCTCCTTCCTTCATTTCTCCTTCCTTCCTTCCCTTCCTAAATAATACCACCTGATGCACATTTCCTCTATTGATCCTTGCAGCTCCCAACGTTTGCTTCCAAACTATCAAGCTCTTGAGGAGCAGATAGCAAAGTAAGTGTGTTTATCTTTGTTATTTCTCTCCTTCCATTTCTCTGTGCATTCCTCTATTCCTTCCTTTTTCCCTCACTCAACTTTGGTGGGAAAAATAAAGACTCAAAATGAAAGAGAAAGCCTTTTTTTATCAAAGCTATTTGGGGCCTTTTTTATGTTTCCCCCTTGTGTTGGGGTGGCTTTATTTCCTGATAATATATACACCATACATATGCATATACGTATTTATAGATAGATAGATAGATAGATAGATAGATAGATAGATAGATAGATAGATAGATAGATATAGATAGATAGATAGATAGATAGATAGATAGATAGATAAGCAAACTGGAAAAGCAAACGACCCAAATGCATCATGACAATTCCAAGAAAGTTGCATTACACCTTTCGGTCTTTGAAAACAGCTGTTTTCTTAACTGTTCCAAATTGATTTTATTGTCCGCAGCCCTAACATCCTTGAATATGAGGCAAGATATAAATGCTTCTAATCCATCAATCAATCAATCAATCAACTCATAATAATAATTTCCAAGAAAATTGCGTTGTAGGCTTTCAGTCTTTCAAACAAATAGCTGTTTGTTCCAAACTGGTTTTTATTATACCGTGCCTTAAAATCCCAGGAGATAGGGCAGGATATAAATACTTCTCATCCATCCATCAATCAATCAATATCAGTTAATAAGCCTCGTATCTAAAGTCTCATAGCCAGAAAATATTGGCGACAGCAAATCTTAGCTAGCATTTTCTGGGTTATGGGTCTTATTAAGTTATTAGCAGCAGTAAGTTGGCATTAAGGCTGGAATGAGCAAACTTGGGCCCACCAGGTGTTTTGGACTGCAACTCCCACAATTCCTAACAGCCGGTAGGCTGTTAGGAATTGTGGGAGTTGTAGTCCAAAACACCTGGAGGGCCCAAGTTGGCCCATGCCTGGGCTACAGGCATAAGACCTATTTGTACAATTTTGGGACAAAATGTAATAGGATCCAGACCCTAAATTTCCAAAGGGCTTCATAAGGTTACATAATCTTTCTGGATCTTTATGACAGTTAATATTAGTATTGATATGCAAAAGCAATATATCTCCTCACCAGATCTCATTTTCCTTGGGTTCAAAAAGTTCTGTGTGTGGTATTGAGGACTATTAATATCCATCAATATAGTAATATCAATATATCTATATCTATATGTTATATAAAGGATTGAACAATATTCAGAAATCCAATAGCAGAGTGTGAACGAAGATAGACAGACAGACAGATATTAGTACCATGAAGTCATTGAACAAAGGTAGATGATTGATAGAGACAAGATGATAGATAGATAGATAGATAGATAGATAGATAGATAGATAGATAGAGATAAATGATACAAGATGATGGATGGATGGATGGATAGATATTAGTGACACGAAGACACTGAACAAAGCTAGATGATAGATGATAGATGATAGATAGATAGATAGATAGA